TGAAGATATTGATGAAATAGAAATAAAAATGAAAAATGCAATAAACAAGCTGCCACAAAAACCGAGGAATATGGGTTCACATTTCAGTCCACGGCCAAAACCAAAGCAATACATTTTTACCAACTAAGGAGAGAGCATAACCAACCCCTCTCAAAATGAATGGAATGACCCTCGAGTGGGTGGACTTGCTAAAATACCTTGGCCTTATCTTCGATTCTAAGCTTAGATGGCAATTGCACATTGGCTGGAAGGAAACAAGGGTAATTTTCTTACCCAAACCAGGTAGGGTCTCTTATCAATTACCTAAGTCATACAGACCCATAAGTAAATCTTCTATTTTCATAAAAACTATAGAGAAAATTTTAGATAAGTATATTAGACATGACTGTGGTATCAATACCTTGATACATCCTAATCAGCATGCCTATTTACCAGGAAAATCAATAGAAACTGCATTGCATTCACTTGTAGGAAGGATAGAGAAATCATTATAGAATAATGATTATGCACTAGGATGCTTCTTTGATATCCAAGGAGCGTTTGTTAATGCAGATACCTCATGCATTATAGCAGCACTAAATAAATATAAGTAGACCCACACCTCATAGGATGGGTGAAAACCTCGGGTCGGATGGTAAATAAGTGCTTAGGTAGCAGTACTCTGAGAATCAGGGTCACAGGAGGCTGTCCACAGGGAGGTTGCTTATCCCCTCTACTGTGGTTAATCACTGTAAATGGCTTATTAGAGCTTCTGAATAACTCAGGCTTTTATAGCCAATTATTTTCAGACGATGGTACCATAATGATCACGGGTAAGGACACTCTGACTCTATCACTACTGATGAAGGAGGCGATGGGGTTGCTAACTGGATGGTGTGGTGACAAAGGTCTTTCGATAAATCCTGCAAAACTGGAACTGATAATGTTCAGCAGGAGAAGATCACTAGGCAATTTTAAAAACCCAAAATGCCAGGGTATTGAATTAAAATTAAAGGATTCAATCAAATTCCTTGGGATAACGCTAGATAGGAAACTTGATTGGAAAGGCCACATTAAAAACATACATAGGAAAGGCACTATATCCATGGTGCAGTGTAGGAGAATCGTTGGTAGAACATGGGGTATTAAACCATGGGTGGCCAAATGGATATACACCGCGATTATACTACCAAGATTTCTATTTGCAGCCCTAGTTTGGTGGAAAGGGCTAGAAAACAAAGGGGCTATTAACAAGCTAAGGTCATTCCAAAGACTAGGTTGTATGATGATGACGGGAGCATTTCCCACTACACCAACCCTAGCTTTGGAAGTGATAACTAACACTACACCTCTACACATTGAGGTCAAGGTTAAAGCACTAACCAGCTGCTATAGATTAGTCAGTGAAGGCAGCTGAAACCATAAGGGAAACAATACAGGACACTCGAAAATTCTACATTTATTGAGTAAGGTCAACAACCAACTACTGGGCGTAAGCGATAAAAAGGTGAAAACACCTTTAGGCAAAAAGTACTTTCAGGTAGTTACTCCCTGTGACTATAACTTTGGGTCTGATGATGACCATCGTGGCATAGACTGCTTCACCCATGGCTCACTCATCAAGGAAAAGGGAAGCGGTGCTGGAATACACATACCTAAATTAGGGATGCTGATCTCCTCCCCTCTTGGTAATAATACCTCGGTCTTTCAGGCAGAGGTCTGGGCCATCAATGTTTGCTGCAGAACACTTATGGATAGCAATATTAAGGGAAAAGATATTAAAATTTTTTCCGACAGTCAGGCCAGTCTGAAATCACTACAAAAAGAGTTATCAACATCTAGGCTGGTAGAGGAAACCGTTGAACTCATTAATAGGATTACTACCAGGTATGAGAATAAGGTAACCCTCATATGGATACCTGCTCATAAGGGGCACTATGGCAATGAAGAGGTGGACAGCCTGGCCAAGGAAGGATCAAATACTGAGTTCATCAGGCCACAACCAGTATTGCCCCACTCTTTAAGCACAGCGAAAGAGAGTATAAGTTGCTGGGGTATGAAACAATTCCTTAAAGAATGAAATATGTCCCCCGGATGCAGGCAATCGAAGGAGTTTCTGAAGGAAATCAAACCTAAAGAAACAAAATGGTTGTTCTCTCACTCTAGGAGGGGAATTAGGAGGCTGATAGGTATCCTAACGGGCCATTGCCCCTTGACTAGACATCTCTTTATAATGGGTACTCTACCAGACCTTTTTTGCCGCTTCTGCGAAACAAAGGAAGAAACGGCTCGACACTACCTTGCAGAATGCGATAGGTATGCTAGGGAAAGATTTGATACTTTCGAAGGAGAGGACATAACTAAAACACTCCCCAGGATAAAATGGTCTTGGGGTTTGTAAATAGGTCCAAAAGGTTTATGCAGATCTCGTGATCTTAGGGATGGGGTACGGACGGGCCTACCCAGGCTTTTAACCCCTCGGGTCCTGGTCGCCCGCGTAAATATATATATAATTGCACATTGACAATATGGTATCCCAAACCAAGCAGATACTTAATGAAATGAAGCTCTAAAATAACTTCAAATGATGAGCATCGAGAGAAGCACCATGTCAGGTAATTAAGTCACTGTTGTGCACTAAATTGTACTACAGATGTATAGTATATTCCTCAGCAAGAAAAACCAGACTAAGAAAACTGAATAATGTATATGTCGCAGAAATAAGATTGGCCACAGGAGCCTACCGGACTAGTCCAGTAAGGTAGTATAGGCGCACAAGCCGGGTTACTGTGTGCAGAACCTGGTGAAAAAGGGTACAACTGACATTAAACTACTGTGCTAATATCTAGGCTAGAAAAAAAAGCACTTTCTACATAGTGCTGTATGATCTGGCCTTCAATGAAAATACACCTTTCTAAGAACCTGTATGAGGCCATTAGGTATCAGAATGGATGAGATACTGGCCTCAAGGAGAGTGACAATTCCTAAAGTAAAATAAATTAAGGAATTAAAGAAGGAATCAAGGAACTGTGGATGCTCTCCTTGATCTCCAATGTGTCAATTTGGCAGACTTGAAGAAAGAAGAAACCCCCTCGTATGTATACAAGGCAAAATTCCAGACCCTCAAAGAAGGATACATGAAGAATGTAATATTTATACATTCAGATAGTGTGAGGAGGTCGGAAGCGGGGTTCTTTGGGAGGGTTGCACAATAGAAATTTCACTCCCAAGAGCTGTAATATATTTATGGTTGAGTTGACCACCATATCGTCTACACTGGGTGAGATTGAACAGATTGGGTGTAACCAATATGTGTACCAAACTCAGTGCGGTTTTAGCCATCTGTATTATCTTCCCCATGGATCCAGATCCACTAACCCAGGCAATACAAGACAAAATTAGTGAAATAAAAAAAATAATAAAATAAAACAATAAGTCGTTATTGCCTGGATTCTGAGACATGTAGGTGTATAAAGCAATGAAATGCTGACCGAGCAGCGCAATGCCACATGACCCCAGAGACTTTGTGAGCTCAGTGGACGCTAAAAATTTATGCTGGGAAGATTGGTAGAAATGCTGGGTTTCAATTACTTACAAATTAAAAGAAGTGAAACAGCCAGTCAAACTGTGGGCCAAAGAGAGGATGGATAAAAAACAGAAAATAGTCTTGACTCAACTACGAATAGACCAGACTTGGGCATCTCCTTATAAACAAAAGGCCAGAGATGTTCCCTGTGTGGAGCACAAATAACTATATATTGATATATTGAACATAAATTGATCAATTGCAAACAATTGGCACTGCACAGAACAATATGTGGCCTTTCTTTGAGTCTCTAAGAGGTATTAAAACACAGCAGTGGCAGCAACAAACAGTTATCGAATACCTAAAATGAATAAATCCATATGGCCACATTTGATGCTTTTCCACATGAAGTTCTCCTACCTGAAATGAATTTATTTATTAGCATGAGTGTTGAGTATGGATTTGTGGCAGAATATAGAGTACCCCACAGCCTCACCAAACTAGGTAAGGATTTTTCTGTGAGTTCTGTCTTGGATGAATGTATTTATTAGCGTTGTGTATGGGTGGGTCATGGTGGGATATTGAGTACCCCACAGACTCTAAGCTAGGTTAGCTTTAGGTTAGTGTTTTTAGAGTGAAAAGGGGAAGAATGTTAGTATATTAAAACCCCAGTGGCTCCCCAATTTTTTCCTGTACATATGGTATAAAAGGTTATAATCAGAACGACTGATTTATTAGCATGAATAAAGGGCCTTCAGCAGTCAGCAGAATATCAAGTACCCTGAAATCTGCCAAACTAAGGTTAGGCTAAGTTTGAATGCTTGGGTATGCATCAGATGTAGAAACTTTTCACCACGTCACCAAGTCCCAGAATTCCTTACACAGGAGGTCTCCTTCTGGGGGGGAAAAAGAGAGAGAGAGAGAAAAGTTGTGAAAACCTAACGGAGCTGGCAATAACATCGGTAACTAGCCGGCCGGCTGAGGGGAAATATTAGTTAGTATAATTTTAACATTTAAAAACCCAGAAGCACTCATTTTGCCACACAAGTATCACCAATCGCTATTCGCTTGCTCCCTCACCTAAGTGTGAGGATGGGGGAATCTAGCCAAAATAGAAACCAGAAACCCACCCAATTCACCCCTCAGTCGGGTTACTCGTTGACCAAGTTGGCTGAGCACTGTCTTTTCTGCATCTTGGCCAAGTCCTCATTAGGTGTAATCCGAGCTATAGCTTCGGGGAAGCTAAAAAACTCACCCACCATTGTTTTAACTATAGTCTGTACTTGTTGAGTTCTATTATAGTGTATACATCATATGCATAATTGGGCTACAGATTAATAATGAAAAAGCAAAGAAATAATCTTAATTTAATCATTCCAATATATTTTCATATATTATTTAAAGAATATTTTCATTTTTAATATTAAACTTCCATCTTTTAATGTTTTTTCTGAATTAAAAATACATGATCAATTTTTAAATTATTTACACCTCATGAAAAAATAGTCTTTTATATATTTAAAAAAATAATACATACAACAAATGGATTTATGTACATTTCATTACATACATATTTACAAAGTTCCACACTTATGTCAAGATGGTTGAAATTTTATCATTTCAATTGGTTATACCTCAATTACGATGCTCTACGCTTAATAATTATTTTTCCTCGGACTAGCTGATTCATATATATTTTAACTTTGGAAGAATCAATCGTTTTCTTCACAGATATCTAACAAAAAAAAAGTTATATTAAAATACAATATTTTTCCAGACACAAATACAACGTATAGAATAATGTGTTCATATAAATAGCATTTTTTTTTCTATTAAACGATAAATAAATAAAAATAAAAACTTTTCTTCTGTATAAATTCGCCACAATATATTGGGTTGTCCGGAAAATAATGCAGGATTTTGGTATTAAACAAAAAAAAAGAAACTAGTTACTTTAAAGCAATGTTCTTTAATCAAAATAATTTCCCNTGACATTCATACAAATGAGTAATCCTGTAAACGTAAACAGAATATTTTATATAGATTTTTTTTAATGAAAACTTAAAATCCTGCATTATTTTCCGGACAACCCAATACATTTAACTTCCCAAACAGAAATATTTTATCTTCCCATACATTCCATTTACTTTACTAAGAAAAGCACTTCTAATAATCCAACATTAAAATAAACAAATATAGACATAAACCGTTTCCAGATTTTTCAATGAAAAAAACTCTCATAAAGAGACGACAAAAATAAAACTCAGGATTCCACAATTGATAGATCTCACCCTGCACAACCCTCACGAGCACTTTTCACACTTCCAGCTTGTTAGTTCCGAGATTCCAAGATTTGATTTTAACAAACACATTTGTAGATGAGTGAGAAAAAAATTATTTCCGTAAGAGAAAGAGGGTCGACTTCATACAAGTTCGTGATAAAAGAAATTTATTGTCTGTGCATGGATCCATATGATCATTTACTACGATGGCAACCTCACTGGGTTGTTCTTCAGAAGCATTTAGGTATTTCCTCCTCTTCAGTGTATCTGTCCACATGAGGAAATCTCACGATCTGATTTGCTTACTAAATGTGGACCCTTCAAATAAGCTGACAAAATCCCATTCCCAAATGGTGTCCACTTATGGCAAGTTGACCGAAAACCTAACAGATGTAAATTATTTAGTGATTACGGTTTTGGTTTCACTATGGTTAGAAATCTTCAGAATCATTATTTCATTAATCCTGTTGATTTCTCGTATAAAAATAAATAATCAATATAAAATTGGGTCTTATCTAAAAAAATCCAAGAAACTGAAAATATTTTGATATAAATTCCTTCCTAAAACTTAAGTGGCATTGTTATTTAAACTTTCTTTTTGTACAGTCATTATTTAAATCTTACCGCCTCTGATCCGATGGCAGAAATAATGGCAGGGAATTTGGGCATATCCTTTCCTTCGACAAAAACAGTTTGACCGCGGTGGAACCTTAAACAAAGAAAAATTCTACAATTTTACCTCATTTGGTAAATTTCTAAAAATGTATACTTTATCGTTTGGTGCAGTAGTTTCAGAAATTTGATGCTGAGTGTTGACATTCAAGCCCACATCTTCATGCATTCTCTACAATCTAATGTTCCTACAGCTTTATTCCAATTAACTTCTTAACACTAACCATTTTTTTTCATACAGGAGCTTCCCATCTTCAATTCTTATTTCCGATGTCGGAGGATCTGGGATAATTGGCCCAAGAGCTTGCAAACCATTCGCTATGAACAGAATAAAAATGAATTTGTACATTGTGATTTGCAATGGAGATGGAATGTTCATGTATAAATACCTGGTTTTCTAACAGAAACTCCGCTCTTGATCCCTCTGCTAATTGCTTTCAAATCGCTCTCAATTTCTTTTTCGTCAAGCAAGTAACTGATCTGCGAAGGGAGAGATGTAAGTTTGCCGCGCCTTTTTTCAGGAATGGGAGCCGGGTCGTTCGGCCTCCTTCTCAATTTCCGTGTCATGGCTGGTTTAGCCTCAGTAGAATCGCCTAAAGTGTTAAAATTGTTAAATATAATTACATGAAGCAAAAACAATATTAACAAAATCATCAGTAATTCTTCACCTGATAATTCCATTGAGACCCTTTCCGATTCAACAATTTTCTTTTTTTCATCCATATCCTGAATGAGATTTTCCTTCAGTTCGATACTCCTTTCATCAAACTCTTTGGCCGCTGACCTTTTCTCAGAAATGTAGTCTTTTTCAGTTAGCTCTATCAGATGTTCCCTCCACGATTTGTTCAACTGAATTCTACACACAAAAAATAATAATTTTAAAAATTAATAAAACAAAATAGTTTATTTAACAATATATAAAACAAACCTCTCTTTAAATTGTTGTTCTAATCTTTTCAGCCGTCTCAAATATTCAGGATATGTGCCTTCATGGAGCTGCTGTAGCTGATACCTGAAAAGTCTGTGTTTCTCTTGATATATTCTAGAATATGCAACATTACAAAATGTGATAATCAAATAATTGATTCAGGTCTATAATTACAGTCCTTTCATACTTACTGGTCTTTCACATCAGGGACTTCACGATAAGAATCTGACTTCCTCAGCTCTGTCTCACTCGCTTCTTCAGTATCTAGAAAAATCAATATTAAAATTAATTGCACTGTTATGAATTTTGTTTCATTGTACAAGAGGGCTTTAGAGTAGCAAATGAGATATTCTCTGTTCTAAAAACCAAACATAATTGTTCAGCCATAATTCTAGACATCGAAGAACATTCAATCGAATTCAAGTTAAAAAGATCATCCCCAAATGTACTATCTCGTCCTGCAGTCATTTCTCATGGATCTCTGGTTTAAATTGAGAATAAGCTTTGATTTTTGGGATAACATGCCAATCAATATTGGTTGTTCTCCAAGGAAGTACCATAGGCCCAATACTCTGCACAGTTTACTGAAATATCCACACATCATAAAACCCTAAATCATAAACTACACTTGTCCCATCACAATCTTATCCACACACTCCGAGTATAAACTATCAACAGAAGGTATCCAAGACCTCATACTCACACACTTGATGACTCATCATCATCTTAATCGAGCAAAAGAGCCAATACACTCAGTGCACAGACCTGACCACCAATGCACATAAACAAGTTAGTTGTGGAATTTTTCAGTGGTCTGAGGGAATGAACTGATAATTTAGTTGTTACTGATCATTTTGGGCGGTAAAGGTGGTTGTATGTGCTTCTACTGAATGGCCACCAAGGTCTGCCATATTCAAAATTTATCCTGCGTTTTCATTATGCTAAAATAGATGTGAATCAAATTTGAACCATAGTACAGTAAAAAGCATTAGTTCCATTCAAAATTGAGTCTATTTGCGATTTATGGATACTGGAATTATAATTATGTCAATTTGATAAGCAAGATAAGTAAAATTTGTATGGAACTAATGTTTTTTGTTCCTTCCCCCCCCCCCAAAAGAGCTCCTGCTTAACAGGTTTTGATTTAGATTTCAAAAAACTTTCTGATGATGGAAAATTATAACCTTAATTGTTGTCAGTATGCAATCATTATCTCAAATCAAAGAAATTAAACACAATGTACACAAATGTAAAGGAGGCTCCAGACATGTGGATTGCTGACTGCCATTGAATATTTGTCGTCTTGAGATGCTAGTATTGGCATTTGCCAAATAATATGCCTACGGAGACACACATACGGAGGTTGTACAGCGAATACTTATTTGCTAAGTGCCATGCAAGTCCTCAATTTACTATAAATTGTGATGGATAGCAGGGAAACGGTCATTGTCCAGCTGCGGTTACTGTTTTGTGTAGTGTCTACAAATTCCTAACCGACAAAAACAACGATGTTCTTCCATTAAAGCATTACTAGTTAGGAATCGTTTATTATTGAAAAATAAATAGCAATAAATTTTTGTAATTCACAAGAGAAGCGTTTTCATCTCTTAAGAGTCCAATGTAAAACTGTCGAATATTTGCTATAAGAATTATCTTTTTGATACAGAAAACTCAATCCAATCTAATACTAAAAGGTTTTGGAATTGTGTGAATTCTGTCAACACTTCTAAGGCCATGCCCTCTTTCATGCGTTTAGGAAATGAATCTTCATCTAATGGCCATGACATTGCTAATCTCTTTGCTAAATATTTCTCCTAAGTCTATGACCACAATTCTGATCTTCCCACTTCCCTACCTGAAACAAGTTCTCTCCTTATGCCATCTTCTCACACAATGAAATACTAAATTCTATCTCATTACTCAACGTGAAAAAGTCTTCTGGTTCCAATTGCATACCCCCTATATTAGTTAAAAAGTGTTCTGTGGCTCTTATTGCTCCTTTACACTATATTCCGAACCAGTCGTTAAAAACAGGTATTTTCCCAATGCTTGGAAAAGCACTTTTGCCATTCCTCTATATAAAGCTGGTGATAGATCTAATGTTTTCAATTACAGACCAATATCTATTCAATCCAAGATATTTGATTCTATTATTTGTAATAAACTTAAAAACGACATTAAATCTTTTATTATACCTCAGCAACATGGTTTCTGCTCTAATAGATCAACTGTTACTAACCTGCTCACATTTCAAAATTACATCTTAGATGCAATAAACTCTGGACACCAAGTAGACTCAGTGCATACTGATTTTTCTAAAGCTTTCGATAAAGTAAATCACACAATACTGTTAAGGAAACTAATGGATTATGGTTTCACCGGAACTATTTTGAATTGGTTATCCAGCGCAAGGGTCTCATCTTGGACCAGTTTTGTTTCTCTTATTTATTAATGATATCCATCTTGCTCTTCCTTCTGCTCAATTTTTATTATTTGCTGATGATCTGAAAATCTATTCCATAATCACTTCTCCTTCCGATTGCTTACAATTACAAAATTCTATCAATAATGTGCTAACCTGGTGCTCTAATAACAAACTTGCTTTTAATGTTTCCAAATGCTACACAATTACATTCGCTCATAAGAAACAACCTTTTATTTATCTCTATACTCTCCATGATGCTCTCTTAACGCGAGTTGAGATCGTAAAGGATCTTGGTGTACTTTCTGATCAAAAGCTCAAGTTTAAAGAACATATTTCTTCAATAAAAAATAGATCTATGAAGATGCTAGGTTTCATCATCCGGAACACCTATGAATTTAAAAATCTGTTTTGTCCATCTTTATAAAGCTTTTGTGCAACCCATACTAGAATATGCTACACCTGTTTGGTACCTATTCTATCTAAATTATCAAAAAATTCTTCAATCTGTACAAAACAAATTTTTTTAAAAACTTTCCTACAAACTCAATCTTCCTCCGAATTCTGCCTACCCTGGAATCCGCTCTGAATTTAAACTTTTCAAACTGGCACTAAGAAGGGATTACTTTGATATTGTTTTTGTATTTAAATTATTAAACAATCTCATTGATAGTCCTTCTTTCCTCTCTCAACTACAGCTACATGTCCCTTCGTACTCTCTTAAAACCTATAAATTATTTTATATTGAATTCCAAAGCTCTAACTACATGCTCTCTTCTCTACACAGAATGATGATCAAGAGTAACAACATCTGCAATAGCATTGACTTCTTCAATAGTTCTGTGCAATCTGTGAAAAACCTTATCCTACATCCTTAATTGAATGCTTTTATATTTCATACTGTACAAAATTATTACAATTTATTTCATTTACGGTTCAACTAATTCTCGCACTCTAGTCTTATTATATATTTACAAATAGCATTATTTTCAATAAATATGTACCTAATTATTGTAGTTTCAATTGTCTTTCAGCTTTATTTTGTTTTCTCTGCCTTATTTTTAGTAATTATGTCTTTCATTTTTGTTGTTCAGTTTTTACTCTTTAATTGTATTTTTATAATTATCATTTATATTTACCACTTATATTATTACCATGTATATACGTCCTTATTCTTTTTATATATATTATTTATATTTTTTGTTATTGTAAAATGTCTTTTTTATAGTGGATTTCGATCCGTAAATAAATAAATAAAATAAATTAGTTCCAAATTTTTGGTTCAGATCGAGGAATTCCAAAACCGTTAAGTTGGGTCAAAAGAAATAATACTTTGTTATCCGACACATGGCTATTTTGTTGGTGTTATTGTTTTATTAGTTTTACTTTATATCAACTAGTTAATGGTATAAAAGGATTTTACCTTGTCTTGCATTGACCTGAAATAATATCAGCAAACAATCATTCTCTTAAAATAAGTATTTTTCATAGCTCATTTCAGGTGAAAGTAATAAATTAAAAACAATGTACAAGTTCAGACGAGTTTGATGGATCAAAACTGTCGAGTAAAAAGATTTAGAAACGTCCTCATGGAGGTTTTACCATTCCTGTCCTAGCTGCATTTAATTCAAAATTACTGAAATTTAAACTAAAAACTGGATAAGATGGGATTATAATTGTATTATTGAATTCAAAAAGATTAAAAGAACAGTGGGAAATTATTGTTTTTAGCTTAAATTCACTAGAATCGTTTGATAATTTTGTAAATGGTTATGGTATGAGATGAAATAGTAAAAATTGGGACGGACCTTCGTCGGATTCGTCCTGTTCCGCGTCGCCTTCTTCGTCCAGGTCGTCGTTCTCATCGTAAAACTCGTACTCATCGTTGGTGTGGTTGGAAGAGGCGTAGAAGTTGTTGTATGACATCTTCAATAACATCGGGTAGGCTGTCGGTCGTCGAGTGAGAGACGGAAGGAAAGCCCGTCGGATCCGCAGCAAAGACAGGAGAAAAAGTGACGGGCGATCGCTCGCGACTCGCTGACGGAGGCTGGGGATCGGGAATTCGGGATAAACTATAAACAAACTGCAGAGTGCAGAGCGCAGTCCGCGAAGCGAGCCGTGACGTAATCGATTTCTAAAAACGGAACGGCGACCGCCCCACCGCACACCGACCACCACTCCACAAAATTTCCTATACGCCAGATATTTATTATTGTTCACCTATATTTAATTTTTTTTAATTTAACCAAACACATTAGAACCCATTGTTTAAAAACTAAAAAAAAAAAGTTAGCTTTTTTATCACAATTTCTCAATACAATTATATTATATTATTACCGTGATGAAAGAACCCGTTTAGTCACACAATAATTCTGAGCATAATGAATTTAAAACATGTTTAATATCGCGATGGCTCGGACTATGGCGACATCGATATCATCAATTCAATTTGTAAATTAATTTTCTCTCGATGTGAGTTTATCAGGAGACGAGAGTAGTATAGGAGCTGTTTAATAAAGCTGCTTAAAAATCGTCCATCTGAAAATTTAAATAATTTCTAATTTCGTTGTATCAGGAGATAAGACTGTTATGAAATTTCGTACCTACCGACCCGACAAGAGGACGACCAGGTTGGTGGTTTTTTGACGATTCTACCATCCCTCCAAATTATCGGGTGAAAAAATTTGAAAGTTTAAATTTTTTGTATTTTAATATTTTTATTTCACCTTTCTACTTGCTCAAATTGACTATGTGAATATATCATTTTCCAGCATTTTCTGTCTAGATTGGAATAAAAATATAGCAAAAGCAATCAAAGTTTATCAATAACTAAATCCGTGACCCACCAACCTGGTCGTCCTCTTGGTAGTTTCAAAGGCAAGTTTAAAGGTCTTCCCATAAATTCTCTAGGTACATAATTTAAAAAACTATAAAAAAATTATTAATATTTGTTGTATCAGGAAATGATAACTTGAGAAGTGCTTGTTTTTACTGTTTTTACAAAAATCTGTACATTCCTTGTTGTTTTTTATATCTCGAATCGTGTCCCATTTCTCAAAAATCCTGTCAAAGGTCAGATTTTAAAAGATTAGTTATATAATTCAGTTTATCTTTGAGGCTAATTTCTTTAAATGATGTTTGTATACAACGCGAATTATTTTCAGATCGAATTGTTCGAAAAATGTTTTGATGGCGTTGTTTGTTTTGTTGTTTGTTTTCAAGGGCACAGGATTGATTGTTTATTAAATAATTCTTCGGAAAAGTGATGTTTTTTGTTGTTTTTTTGTGTGCGTGTTTGTTGCTTTAGAGAATAAATTTTACTTGAAAGATTGTAGGAATTTGTCAGTTTTATTTATCTAAATTAAGCCTTAATTAATAAACACAGCCTTGTGTTGTACCGTCCCTCCTAAAATCACTGTCAAGGTGTGAGTTAAAACACTAAAACACGTTTCGGTCTGTGGTCTGTGACTGTTTTTCGATTTATTTTCAATTCTGTATGTTTATGTTTTATAGAAAGTTAGAAACCGTTATCGGTTCGCAGAAATTATAGATATAACTTTTCCCGCGAGGCCGCTTATTGCGCAGCCTCCTTTTCCAAGGCTTTTCGAATTTCGACGGCACGTTCTCAGGACTCAGACGAGCGAGAGTCGAGACTGTCAACAGACGTTGCGAATGCGGTAACGGGTAAAGAACGAAAGTTTTCGTGAGGAGGTGGTGAAGCTGTGGCCTAGTCGCAGCCGCTAAGGATGAGCTCTCCTCAGAAGGTCGGCAGTCCGCACGGCCTTTCGTCCCCGGACGGCTTCCTCCACATCCCAAGCCCGATAATCACCAGGAGGACGAGGACCGATTCAACGTAAGTCTGCCCTATCGCGGCTGGAGTGGTGGCGGTTTCACGAGCTCCCCTTGTTCCAGGTCGTCGAGGGCGTTGCTCAACCCGATCGAGACCGGCGTCGTCAGCTCTTTCAGCAGGTCCAAGGGACACGGCTTCATCGAGAGGGACAGGACAGAAGACACTGAACCGATTTTCGTACACATATCCGAGTGAGTATGCCTGAATCGTGACTTCCACATCCACCATGTGGTCACATAATGTCATTATACAACTAATCCTTTTTAAAAAAAGATGGTTCCTACTCACATTAAGTTGTTTCACCACAATCCGGATTTTGAGCCCTTTAGCTCATCGTCAGGTTGAAGGGTTTCTACAAACACGTCTCTCGACATGAATTGCAGAAGTTTTCAACTTCTTTCATGTCGAGAGACGTGTTCGTAGAAACCCTTCAACCTGACAATGAGCTAAAGGGCTCGAAATCCGGATTGTAGCGAAACACTTAATGTGAATAGGAACCATCTTTTTTTAAAAAGGATTGAACTCCACACTCACCCCATCATTTATAATTTCTATTACACAACTAATCCGATTAAAGTTTCAATTATCTTATGTTGCTCTTGTACTCCAGTAATTAATCCTATTATTATGTCTTATGGACAAGGAAAGTTAGATGTGAACACCTATTGGCCCTGAACCATTTTGTGGCATACCAAACTGCCAAAAATGCAGGTTTATTAGACAATGTATTAAAAATAAGTCCTCCGTTCAATGGGAATGTAGCCCGGGGCAGAGGCATTCTAAAGACTAAAGGACCATCGAAGAAACTAACAACAAAACTAGGATGTCTAGGACTAGAATAATAGTTGGATTACTGACGGGTACTGTAGACCGCAGAGGCATATGTATAGATTCGTCGTGAAGCAAGCCTGTGCAGATATTGCCAAAAAGAAGAAACAGCAGAACATGTCCTGTGTTGGTGCGAACGGCTTTGTAGGCTGAGATTAATAATCCTGGGAGAGGAAAAGCCAGGGCATAAGGATACACACAGGAGCCATTGAAAAAGCTTTGAGGTTTGGTAAAAAGCCTTAAGCTTAACAGTGTATAAGAAAACGGAGATGCACAGTAGACCAATATTGGTCGTAGTACGCAGGTCATATAATGTAAATTAATCTAATGTCTTATGGTAATTGTCCTTTGACAGTTAACCAATTGCCTTCTCAGTGATTTCTTGCTATTGTCAGATTTGTATTCCTACAGGTATTGCTGTTATTGTCCCAGTGGCATTACTTTGCAACAGATTTTTAAAAACAGAACATTCACACATAGTTTATATGTGGGTCCTGATTTAAAAATTTTCCTACCTTTGTCTGCAGCCGTTTACCAAACCAGACATATTATGAATTGACCCTACTTGTATGTCCTTGAAATGTACTCTCATTTAGAAATATGACCTTTTCCTAGATATCCCTGTTACTTCTTTCAGGGCATTTGGGGCATAAGGCAGCAAAAAAGTTGACATGTTGGCCAAAGAGAGAGCTCATAGAAGGCTTGACCATGCTTCTTGGCAGTCAGCAGGTGTCTGTCTCAATATTTTTTGTATCCTACATTTCAGATGTTTTAGATGAAGAAAATTATAACTGAATTGAACCACAACTGATTGTAATTTTATAAGAGGCTGACAATATAATCCACTTGGTCACTGCAATCTTTTAATTATATTGATTTGCATGAAACTAATTTTTTAAATATGCGCAATAAAAATGTTTTTGATAGGTAGGTACAGTCAGAATTACTTCTTACTAAGTACTATTTAAATTAAACCATCCAACTAATGTTATTTTTTCATTTTGTGTACAATAGACTTGCCTATAAATTTGTCGACTCAATAGTCCATATTATCTTCCTGATAGACAACCTACAAACTTGATTATTCTTATTTTTCCATTGAATTGTATTACCTCTTTAGCCCTAACTGTGGGAGATTGTAGAATGAGGTCTTGTCTGAGGCTGAAATGATGGATAATTTGCAACATACTCTTAAGAATATTTTCATTCATTACGTGCATAAAACAGTAAAAGAGGTCAATGTGTTTTCCAGTTAATATCCTTCCTCGATGTTTTATTTTGAAAATATACATTTAAAAAACTTTATTTGTTGTAGTATCGAAGGAGAGTATGTTCCACTGCCTGGCGACCGTGTCAAGTATCGAGTCTGCCCTATACCGCCTAAATTTGAAAAATACCAGGCAGTCCATGTGGAGATTGTAAATTTTACACCAGATGTTCACCTACGGTGGGACAGCCCGATTGAGGAATAACTGTTTTGATCTTCATAAACAGTGGCAATGCTGCATTTATGTACATAAGTAGTCGACGAAAGCGTAGATGATTATCACAAATAATTTTACATAATAACAACAATGAAATATATTTTAAAAGGAGTTATATTTTTCTATATTTCTATTATATTTAATCTGGTATATTTTTAAAATACAACTTGTTTTAGCAGTCTGGCCATAAGTGATACGCTTAAAAACCATGAAAAACATTCCTCTAAGAGTTAGTACTACTTTTCTCACACTGCTATTGCTAGTTCCTCTTAGTCCTTAGTTGATCCATTTATAAAATAAACAAACTACACAAAATTCTCAAATGCTAACTTACGAATTGAGCAAATGTGTAAACTTGTTAAAAAAAAAAAAAAAAAAAATGTTATATTTGCTGTTTGATGAATTTTATTGATTTACATGTCAAATAGACAATTATTGATTGTGTTGACCTGTGTGTATTGTTACATTCCTTTGTATAAATTTGGTTTATATTATTGTAAAATTAAAATGATAATTAAAACTTGATATGGTGCATTATTTATAAATTTAACCAAATTTATCTGAAAAAACCTCGATTTTGAATAATATGAAAAGTAATAAACATATTTACATGCAATTCTGTTTTGAACATCAAGTTTTATACAAACCCATCTATTTTTTAATAACAAAAATATTTTATTAAATTATTGTAGTAATAGCAATTAACTACATGAAACCAAATATTGATATTTCGCCTCAGTTATTTATTTATATTGTATGTTACTAATTGAAACATACTCCATAATCTGTTTTGCTTAAGGGTAAAAAATTCAGTATATTTTCACCACATGTTTTTAATTGTTTAGGATTAAGGATGACAATTTGGGACTGAATTGTTGCCATAGCGTTTTCAAAACGACGAGTGCGGTCTTGTTAATTTTATAATAGCCAGTTGACGTTTTCCCTTTCTCCAGCATTCTTCAGCAGGGCAAGATGATGAACCTGGTGCAAGACGTCAAACCATTCCCAGAAAGATCATTTGTCATAAACCTAATCAAAGCCGCACACCAAGGACAAGGCGAACCGAACTACTTCTTAAAAAAGGAAACTGGGCATTGGAATGTCAAATTTACGACTCCATTTGTAAGACTGTTTATTTATTTTTTTAAAAGAAGAACAATTTGCATTAAGAAGTTAGACAATTGTGATTGTAAAGCAGCTGATAACTTTCCAACTGAGCAGGCATTCAAATTTATTATGCGCTAAATTAAAAATTAGTACCTCCTAATGGTGGTATTAACTTTTGCTAAAAATGGTTAATTATTGACTAATTTATTTTGTATAAGGCTTTTCTCAATAGATCTTAAGATTAAATATTAAAAACAATATAGATCTGAAAGCTCACAATATTTACAACAAAAATATCCGCACTTTCATTTCTATACCTAAGGATCTTATTCAAGATCACAACTGACAGTAACAGTATGCGAATTTTTTATGAACTGAAAATAAACTGTTTGAAATGAAACTAGATTGTTTATGGAAAATCATATTTAACTTTATAATATTACAAACCAGTTATTTCAATGCTTGCAATATTTACAAAATAATAATATCTATAATTTCAAGTTCTCTTCATAAAAAAATATTTCTAGTTGAACATACCGAAAACAAAAAACTATTTTATAAATTATGATTATGATTGAGAATGCTTAAATGATTTGTGCGTCAACATTAATCTTGTAAATGGTTATGAATGTAGACATTGTGGTCCCTCAATTAAACGAAAAAATGAAAGAGAGATATTGGGCCACATGCAGGAAAAAATGGAGATGTTCTAGAATCTTTCTAAGGTCCCAACAAGTTTTAGTCTCAATTGTAAATGATGATTTTATGCACAGATTTGTTGTTTACGATGATCTGGATTTCAAACACTAAACGCTCATCATCAGGTTGAAAACGTTTCAAACACGCCTAGTGAACCATGTGTGAGTGGGTTTACTCTTACTATTCATATCGAGAGACAAGTTTGTAACTTTCAACCTGACAATGAGCATTTAATTATTGAAATCCAGATCATTGTAAAACAACAAATCTATGAGTAGAACATCATTTACAAAAAGTGAATGTACGTACTCACATCCATTCTTCATCATTTCTAACAGTTTTAGTCTCTGTTATGTAAAACTAAGGATTTTTATTTTTTTATTTTTTTTATTAAAATGATACATGACAAAACTAAATAACATATCACAAATGTTGGTAAGCAGTTTTCAGTTTATCAATGAGCCTGAACAACTAATTAAATTTTCCAGTGTCATTATTGGACATTTGGCATGAACAAAAATGCACCTATTCAGAATCTGACAACACCCAACGAGCCATTATTATTATTTGCTTCAGGTCATTTTCCTATATTGTACAACTATGAATATGAAACGATGGTTTCACTTAAAGGCCATGTAAATATAGCAAATTTTATGTATATACTTGATGATATATTTATTAATTATTTTTTAGAGAAATAAAATACGAACGACAGCCTGTGATGGCACTGGCCAGTGGTTAGCAACTGCTGACAACGGGCCTGGAAACACAATCATTGTTTGGAATGTGGAGCAATGGTAAAATGAAAGTGGCTTTCTTGAAGCCTTGCAATAATGCAGATTGAATGTTTTAATAATTTAGCATTCCCGTTTACACTATCTTTGAGTTTGAACACAAAGCAGGTGCAAAAAATGTTTATTTGAGCGAATGTGGAAAATATTTGATTGTACATTTGATCGGGATTAAAAAACAAGAGATCTTATTATATGAATGGGCACTGCCAAATAACACATTAAAGGGTAAACGTTTGGATTTTTTAAATGTAAATTTTGAACTTGAGTTTAAGCTAGAAAATTAACATTCACCATTGTTTCAGCCACTCTAGTATTAGATCCAAACTTTGGGGAAGTTGTGGATGTTGCGTTTTGTAAAGAAGTTAGTGAATACCTTATGGTGACCTCAAAGACAAATGTTATTTTTGTCACCTACATTCCAGTAAATTACCAATTGTAAAGACTTTTAAATGCTGTCAATGAAAAGTAATTTTATGTTATAATAGGGGACAAAAACTCTCACTTACCACAACACAACATTTACAAGAGACGACAAGGTTGGTGGATTCACCTGTTCTACATACCATACGGGATCTCATCTTAGTCTCACAGCTACTGATACAGGTATATCTTTACAGTCCATATTCTGTATATGCGTTATAAAGAACTAATTTCAAACTTTTAAATTTATTTTTAAAGGGAATGTTATTGTATGGAGTGATTTGGATTATTTTGAGGGGTCAGACCCGATCGAAATGACAAATGAAAAAGATGTGATTACCTATGTCAATTTAGTAGATGATCGTATAAATGCCATTAATTCCATTGATGGGTAAGCAGGCTAAATCCTTTGCTATAAGTATGAAAATAAAACATTGATTCATGGCTTCATCTTCACACATTCTGGTGCTGGAATAAGTCTTACTGACAGACAAGAATTCACAGACACACTGGAACAAGGCGAATGATGGTTCAGGATATTTGAAGATGATCAAGTCATGGAAAAATACCACTTTATAGTTTCATTTTTTTTCACAAATCTGTTTTGCCAGTGACATCAATAAGAATTTTCATGTACAGTGCATTACAGTGCATGCAGGGTGTTGCTATTGAAATTTTGAATTTCTCTCATACACAATACATGATAGATATTTGAATATAATGTCCTTCTGATTATCAGATTCATTGGATTTTTCCTCCATCTACAATTCCTCCAAAGTAGACTTCTGGCGTAAATCCCCAAAGCCTACCGATTTCTCCTTCTTAGGTTATTTGCATCTGACTGGTAGAAACCCTCGCACTCCTTTTTCAATAATTAATTCTCATAGAAAATTCCTTAACAATTTCAAACTCAGGACATACAGCGTGCTATATGTACAAGAATCACCTGCCTTAACTGTCACTATGGTTCACCCAATTTATTTGGTTATAATGGTTATAATAATCTACTTATTAAAAGATATTTTGCTAATGATTGAGGTTTTTTTCAAATATATAGGCTTTTGCTTTTTTACGTAGGTATATTGCAGTTGGTACAAATAAAGGCCGGATTCTTTTTTACAACAGTGCTTTAAGGATTGTATACTGGTTCCAGCATAAAGAGCTGGACTCTATTTTGCAGGTATCGTTTCACCGGAGACCGAGGGAAAATAATGATGTTGATCCCGATTACCATAGAAGAATGGTGAACACAATGTTTATAATGGGTAACTTCTTAAAGTTGCTATTAACATTACGTATTTAAATATTAATTAATATTCTCTAGGAAAACTCTGTGTCAAAAAAAGGCGCGATATTTCAGACTGGGCAAAACTTGAAGAAGACTACAACAAAGAAAACAGCAAATTTACTGTCAGAGACTTTATAGTTAGTAAGTAATTAGTATGCTTACTTATCAAAACGTTTATGATATTTAAACATAAGTTTAAACATTAGGCAAATTTCAGTTAATAACTAATGGGTATGGCTTGTTAATATTTTCTTTTTTTGGTGGTGGAACACTCAGAATGAAATAATTTCTCTCCCTGTTCATTACATTTTGTTATTCTCTTACTAAAATTCTCTTACCAAAATTTTTGTAACTTTTGTTGAAGTCGTAAGGAGCAGTAAAGAATGAGGTAGTTTGGAAAAACACCTTTTTCATTTTTTGCTGATGTTTTGACCTTTATTCGAGTCATCTTCAGGGTACAAAGTGTGGAGCTATTCTTGTGATGTCATATTGGTTTTGGGTGAAAGTGTTCTTACAACACTCAATTCAATACTACTAGACAAAAAATATAAATTCTCCCTTGACCACAAATAGTCATACTCAAATCAACACTAAAACCAAAATGGACATACTGCTTAGAACTGTGGGGTTCAACTAAACCTTCCAATCTCCACAGAATTCAGACACTGCAAACATGAATTCTTAGATTCATTGTCAACTCCGATCTATATTTCCAATCGCATCATCCACAGTTACCTAAATGTCCGATACCTTTAAAAAAGTACTGACCACAAAACAATCTGCACCAACCTACAACCCTACTCATTGTCTAAAGAGACAGTAGCCCAGTTCTTAGAGAGTGAGAATGATTATAATTGATTGACTTATGAAAGCTCAATTCTGCACACATACATACATATACACACCTATGCATCAACCTTATGACATTTCACAGGTTCCAAGAACTGTTGGGTTTTGGTAGTAAGAGAGCAGACCTCGGTCTTAAATGCCTGCCACCAAGGCTTGTTCATTTAATTTAATACGTTATATGAATTTATTTTATGTGTTTTAGAGACTACATCGGGTCAAGTGGCATATATCAATTACTCTAAACAAACCATTGAATATTTGCTAGAATACTTTATCCATAACGCAACAGCCATGGATCCACATCCCGCTGGGTAAAACATCAAATTTATTCTAATTTCATTTCTTTCTAATTTTTATGACTACAAAGTAAGAAAATTGTTAGTGTATTTTAAATTTTTAATCCAAAATATTTAAATAATTTTCCAGCACTTACATTTGTATAGGAACGTCTAGTTTGACAGTTTGCCTGATCGATTATATGGAAAATCAAACAATGATTACAAAACAGCCTGTAATCCTGTATGCCAAACTGTCAAAAAAATCAGCCAAAGTGTATGTTTCTTCCCTCAAATACAGTGCAAATGGTAAGCAGTAGCTATGTTAAATTGCTTTATGTTATATTTAGTTTTTATGGACTTAATTAATCAGCCTTCAACATTATAATTTTATATGGCAATATTTTTATTGAAGGTGTTTATTTGGCCTGTGGTTTATCAAATGGCGAACTTCATATTCTCCATCCTTTATTGCTCACTTCGACCATAGGGACATCTTATCACTATGAGAATTTTCCTATTACTATGATTAAATTTTCGTTAGACTCTGTATTCGTCGGATATTGTGTATGCTTGACCTATACAAAACTTAGGAAAAGCAATTTTTTTATATTTTAAACCCTATTTTCAGGATATGAACTGTACTTTCTTCTTGCTCAAATTGGAAGCCAATGCACACCCAGCAATAATAGGAAATATAAAAAGTCATTCAAAGGAAATTACAGAAATCCTTTTTAAAACTACAGATTTTGAAAATATGTGCTATACGATAGCGAAGGATAAATACATAGTTGAATACAATTTGGAGGATTGGCAAGTGTCATCAATCTCTTTTATAAATGAAGACGTATTAAATGAAACTTATTTTGTCTAGTCTTGCAAAACGAAATCTCATCATACAAAGGAGAATTCGTGTAGAGCAAAGATGCCACCCTATGTGCATGGCAGTCAATCCTACAAACTCAAATCTAATTATAATGGGAAACTCCAATGTGCGTTTGTTACCTTATTAATCACTTTGCAAATGTGTTTACAAAACATTTTTTTACTAGTCTAAACTAAGGTTAATTGAAACAACAGAGATGACTTATGTCAGTACGAAACAAGGGCCACTTCTTGACCAACCACTTGATACCATAATGGTAATTCCTTTATATTATCCTTTATCCTATATTGTTATTATTACTATTAACATTGTACTGATTGATGAATTGTAATGATGAAAATTTTCTATTGTTATAACCACAACTGCTATTGGGGTTCTCAAATATTTGAGGACCTTATAAATTGGCTGAATAGGATCAGTAATAGATTAACTTTACTACTCTTTTAGTTGGCTAGAAGTACTAATAAATTATTACATCTATAAGTAATCAATATTTTAGGTCCTGAACAACACTACAGAAAGTGAATATCTTGTATTTTCTGCTGGTAATCAAATGGGTATTATTAAATTCCCATTGGATGGAAATCCTTTTAAATGGATAGCACTTCACATGGGCGAGGGACCGGTTTGTGCTAACCTTGTGTTAAAAATTAAAATAATACTTATCCATCATTACTTTTTCAGAAGATCGATTTTGCCATCGATAAAGATTCAACATTTGTTTTCTCGTTGTCAAGATCAGAAAAAAATGTACAGATGTGGAGAATAATGCCAGGGTATGAATGTAACTGTGTTACAATTGATAAACAAAAGCCAATGCTATATATGCTTTAGCATCTTGGACGTGCTCGAAATGCAGGGAGGTAGCGGAATCTCACCTTATCTAAAGCTCCTTGGGCCGAATCACACTACCATGTTGAATGAGTTGCGAGATTATTTCCATTATGCTCAGCTACTCCATGAAGGCGAGTACAACTTGCAGCCGAGGTCTTCATCCAACACAATCAGCCTCTGTGAAGTCCCTGATGTCTTAAGGGCAGTAGGTTGTTTTCCAACCATATTCGAGGTACATTTTACCTCGATATATATTCTATATAATTTATATTTATTATTTTTTTCCAATATACAATACATTTCTACTTGAAATTTATTATTATTCCTTAGCTTGACATGCTAATGCACGACAGTGAATTCGCCACAGAAATTAAAGATAAGAAGCCAGAATTGAAGGAACTGTCAATTGAAGATTTTATCAAAATATTAATCAATTATAGAGATTCGAGTGATGTTTCTGAAGAGGAATTAAAAGCAGCTTTTCAAACTGCTCTTGAGCTTCAAACAGACAAACATGGAGCAGCATCAGGAAGTCTAACAAGGGAGGATTTCGTCAACATGCTCGTAGAATGGGGTCAGCAAATACATAAAATGACCAAAATAATGCTAAATTAAATTACTCGTACTAATATTAGTATTGCATCACCTTAATAATCATAATTTAAAAAAAAATTTAATTGTTAAATATAGCCTCCAATGATAATGTTATTATAGGAGAACCCTTTACATTCTGTGAGGCTTACAACTACCTCAAAACACTTCTTAAACCTGCGACAATAACCAAAAAAGTATATGAAGAGAAAAAGAAACAAGAGGTACTAGAATGTGATTTCTTGCCAGAGGTGAATATGTGCTAATATAATTCTTTTAGTGATGTTGGTCAGTAAATGGATGAACATATGTTGAACTGATCTAACACTTTAGAGTCCATCCAGCAAGAATGTACACATCCAGTAAAATGATCAGTTCAAGATGTAATTTAATTCATCAATATCATGTTCAATAACTCCTCTCAATTAAACTTTATACATTTAATTTTTAATAATCCCATTTCTTTTTCTTTTTTTCAGTACATAACATATGAATATTTGACCAGGGAGATACTGGGAAGAAAAGACGCTGATGAGATTATGGCAGCGATAGACGAGGAGAACAAATTAGATGAAGAAATTATTAAAATCAAAGAGAAGGAATCTGATAAAGAAATGGAAGAGACCAAGCAGGATTACGACCTGCGCATGTCTATGAAAAAGATTAAGAAAGCTGCTGAAATGAGGAAAAATATGAATAAAAACTAATGAACACTATTCTGAGTCTTTCTTCATTGGTAGGCCAGTAATGCAAACTTTTAATTATTTAAAAAAGTGGTTCAATATTATATTTTTTGAAGAATTTGTCTAACAAAAAAATTTGAGGTTCTTTTAGGTGAATATAAACCAACTAGTACATGATTCAAGTTTTTTTTTTTTTTTTTTCAATAAAATATATTTGAATAAATATAATTTGATTTGTAATTTAAAAAGTATTCTTATTGTTCTAATGAGTTCTACAAATCGAAAGGAATAAAATAAATAAGCCCATATGAAAACTTTACAACTGAAAGAAAAATATAACAGTTAGGTTTATAATGCCATCTATTATTTGAAACAGTTTACATTTTTTTAATTTACTGTTCTGATTTTCTTTTTTTTTATATTAAAACAAACTTATAAAATATAACACGGGAAAGGTGTATTCGTTTCACAAATATTCATTCTCTGTCATCTTTTACCAAATGAATTAAAAATAAAACATTTTTCTTCAATTTCTACTTTCAAGTGATTACAAATCAGAATAACGATAACTAATCTGATTAAAAATCTAACTTAAACTAAAAAGTAAAAATTAAATCATATTTACACTGTAACATTTTATATATTTCAATTAAAACATATGTATGTACATGAATATTTACATATATGCAAATGTACAAAAGGTTTTTTTAAGGACATTAAGGAAGTCCCTTACTCGTTATATGAATTGTATTGTACAAAAAATAAACAGAACACAGTTAAAGTCATTATCTACTTTAACTACAAGCCCCCTTTACCTAAATTCAACACATCAACTTGTATTAAATAGAATAGAAATATGAGATTGCTCTCTATGATAGCATTATTAAAAATACATTCACAGTTTTGATTAGTGTAAATCACACAATTTTCACAGAATAATATTTTACACTTTAAACACTTTTATTTATAAAAACCAGTACTGTAAATTCTATAGCACAAGAAACTAATAAAATTGTATAAGACTAAGCGGGAGGCAGGCCTCGGGCTTTCCGACAGCCTGGACAGAACCACTCGCCTCTGGGGGGCACCATGATCCCAACACACTCAAAATGAAACCACTCGATTGTACAGTTTTCGTCATCACAAGCTATCATCTCAGACACTTCATCATAGGGACATCTGCAGTAGCAGTAGACATCCTTGTCGGGCTTCTGTGAACCATGGGAAGGCTGCGGCGCGGGCATAGGTGGAGGAGGAACCGGTATCGAACGCATGAACTGCGGTCTTTTCACTTCCTCGCTGCCGCTGTCCGACGAATCATTGCTACTTGTTTGTACTTTAATTTTGGCCGCTTTTGGAGTTTTTCTTATGACGTGCTTAGGTACAGTCAACTGTATCCTTGGGGTCGGTGTCGAAGGCTGAGGTGGTGGTGGAGGAGGTAATATGGGTTGGGAAGGAGGAGTCGTTTTGTGATGACTAGGTGTGTCTTGTTTTCTCCATTTGAATGTTGGCTTTTCGTCTTCTTCGCCACTTGAGTATCCATAAAACTTGTTTGGGATCCTCCTTCGTTTTGAAGACCTCGATTTATCATTCTCTGAACCTCCTGGCGTGTTTTCGGATGGCATGAAAGAGGAGATTGGCTTTTGAAGAGGTGTCAATGGTTTTGATTCTGGTAAAGTTACAGGTTGATGATAAGGTGAAAAGGATTTAGGGATGTCCATAAATTGTTGAGGGAATGGACTAGAATTTTGGATTGGCTTTTCTATCGGTACCTTAATTTTTGGCACTGCCTTTCTATTTCTTTTTGGTCGAACTCTTGATTTGGGTGTTAATGAAGTAGGTGTTTGTGTAACTGGAATTTCTGTAGGAGGTGTAAGGGGATAAGGTGTCATGGGCAAGGTTGTGTTAAGAAGAGGTTCAGCCATGTAAGTTGGCGATGAATTACCATTGTTGCTGGGTACACCAGCAGCAGTATTTTGCATGAGTTGATTCCTTTTTTCAGCCATCAACTGGCTGACTCTTCTTTGCGGTTGACTGTCATAAAACTCTTCATCAGACGAAGTCTCGTCAGTCTCCAATTCTGATTCTCTAATTGGTGGATCCTCTGGATCTATAAGGATATTTGGCTCTTCAGTTTCATCATGTTTCATTTTATGTTCAGCTTGAGGTTCTTGTTTTATTTCTTCTGATTTTATAGTTTGTGTCTCCGTAACAGTTTCCGGTTCTGGTGCAGCAGGAAGAATAGTATTTGACAGAGGTTCTTTGTCCCCTTCCGGATCAATTTCTGTCTTGGTTCTACTTCTGCGTTCTTTCCTCTTCTTGGGTCTCGGTTCCTTAGCTTTAGAGCTGTCCTCAGGTCCAGAACTCTCAGAATCACTACTGGATGATGAAGAACCACTTGACGAAGAGCTCGAACAACTGCAATTTGTACCACAACTGCAAGTGCTCGAATCCGTATCACTGCTGTCACTGCTGGAGGAAGAGCTATTGTCACCAGAGGGTTTTGAAATTCTTTTCTTTGGAGATTTTGGTTTCTTTCTTGGAGAATCCGTTAAACTGGGATTTTCGTCTTTGATTTCGTTTGTCTGTTTTGAATCAATGCCAGTAGTTTCTTCCAATTTATCATCACTCAAACCAGGACCTAAATTCGATGGCAATTCTTCTTTGATCAGTGGCTCTGATTTGGTGGATCTTTGGCAGTAATCATGGTCTCCCATAATTATACCATATGCCACTTCTGACTTCATGGCGCATAATGGATAAGGCAGACTCGAATTTTGAGGGTTTGTTTTATAAAAGTTTTCCCAGATTTCATCTGCCTGGCTATCCGGCACTTTTGTACTATCATGGGTGTTTAATAAATGTGAACTGTTATCTACTAGTTGAGCTGGGTCAACTAACAATTGTTCTCCAAAATTGTTTACGAATGGAAGGTTGGCTATATCCAATAATTTTTCATGTTGATCAATCGCATTACTCACTACAGGATCAATCAATCCCTCACTCGTGCTATTCTCTGTAGGCTGGGGAAGGTCTAAAACGCCCTTCAATTCAGGCATTACACTATCAACTTCTGGAAGATTATCTTGTACTTTTATTTCAGACTCTGGATTCGAACTCACTTTAGTATTGTCAAGCAATTCTTCACTTACAGGTGTTTTTTCATTGGACATTACATTGTCTTCTCCCTTGTCTTTTTCATTTTCAGTACTCTGTGGTTTAGGAGAATTGTCATCATCATCATCATCACCATCATCATCAGAGTCACTGTCTGAAGACAAATTTAAAGGAGGAATATCCAGTTCAGAATTGCTTTTCTTTTCTTTCCTTATAGTACCATCTGCTGGTTTGTTTTCTTTGTTTTCATCATCATCAGCACTATTATTTTTATTAATATTCAGAGGTTCTTGGTTTTCATTTGGAAGATCTGTTACATTTATTATTTCCTCTTTGCTGTCTTCTTCATTCATATCCGATTCAATTTTACTATCGATTTTACTGACCGGTTTGTTGTGTCTTTCTTCATGACGCTTTAAAAGTTTTTTCGAGACAAACTTCTTTTCACACTGGGAGCAAGCATAAGGTATATCATTGCCATGGATCCGCTTATGCACTTTCAGAGCAACAGCTTTACTAAAAGAAGTGTTACATTCTTCACAAATAAACGAAGTTGGAGGTATGCAAAAGTGATAAACATGAGGCCATTTCTTTTGAAGACACTTTTTACAAAGCACACTCTCTGTCCCATGCTTCCAAAATAGATGTTTTGTTATGTCTGGTTTGCTGGCATAAGCAATCCCGCATCTGTAGCACAAATGATTCAGTTTATGTTTCCACATGTGAGTTGACAATTTTTGCTGGTCCTGACAAATTTCCAAACAGATATCGCACATGTGATGAGATTTTCGAAGATGGACCATTAAACGGAATCCAGAGGGTATTGTGTCTAGAGGGCACAAACAACATCGGAATTTCATATCAATATTTAAAATCTCTGCACTGTACATGCCTGGACACAAATGGCAAATTAGTTCACTGTAACTGACAAAAGTGGATTTACACATAATGCATAAAAGTAATGATTTAGAATGGTACTTTTTCTTGTGGGCGTAAAGGTCTTTATGCGATGGGGAGTCATGGTTGCATTGAAAACAATTAAATCTCAATTCTTGATCATATGGCACATAGACTGAAGGGTCGGTGCTGTCGTATGTTTCAGAATTGAAAAACATTGTCGACAGTTTATCCAAAGACTGACGCAACTTGTTGATTACGTCTTCGGTCGTCTCATTTTTTGTTGGCATATATCTGTGTTCAGATAGCAAGTGCAAAGCAAGCTGTTTACCATTGACAGCAATTTTAGAAGCATGTCTACAATAATTACAAGTCAAACACGAAGTACGTACACACTCTTTGACTACAGTTTGTATTGAAATGTTATCAATTTTATCATCTAACGCCAATGCCATAACAGCAACCTCCTCACCCGCAAGGGCGATGTCATTTACATTTTCGGTAACGTTTTGACTGACTTTTGCAGGATCATCGTCAAAACTCGTCGATCCTTGAGAAGAGCTGTTTTCATTGATTTTTTCTTTAAACTGGGCAATTCTGTCATCTTTGCTGTTTTCATTGTCACTGTTAGTAGCACTGCTCGCGTGTTCGTCAACCACAAGAGAGAGCTTTTGACTATCATCACTTTCATTATCAGAATCTAAAGTGGATTGTAATTTCAACTTAAACAAGCTTTTAGGGATTGTAAGTTTGTTTGTAAATTCAAATTCTTGGTTAACTTTAGGGCTTTTGGGCGTGTTTTGGGGCTGTGGTTGAGGAACATCGACTTCCATTTTGTTATAATCTTTTTCTCTATCATCTACATCGTCCTTAACTTTTACTTGTTCATTATTATTGATGCACTCTTTCTCTAAAATTTCACCTTGGTCCATTGGTGCCGTCGGATCTGAATCAGTTGTTGAAATTATGGAAGGAAGGAGTGGTGATTCCTCTTGTACAGGAGGTAACACAACTGGTGGAGTGATGGGCAATTTTTTTTTCCTCACGAGTTTCTTGACGACTTTCTTTACCTTCCTCACTTTTTTCAATGACTTTACAGGCACTGAGTGACAGTTTAATGTTTCGCTGACTTCTTGGTTGGTTTGATTGCTGTCAAATTTAGTTTCATTAACATTCTTCATGTCTACATCAGAAACAGCTGATTTTGTATTTGGCTGTTCAGCTGTAGGTGGCATATTTTCTTCATTTTTTTCATTTAACTCATTTTCTGTTTTGGGCTGTGCCTCTGGAGGCATCAGGGAACTAACACTTGACATTTCACACGCTTCAGTGGTCTCAGCTTTGAGTGTATTACTGGCATTTATGTCCTTCTTTGAATGCAATGATTTCTGTTGGCTGAAACTCTTCTTGGCCGATTCCCTTGTCCTTTTCCCACCGGATTTCATCGATGGCTGGTGACTGTCTTGGGACGTTTTGGCCTGATTCTGATTGGCTGAATTTTCTTGTTTGGCAGTTATTGAAGAACCTTCCAATGACTCGATGTTCTTCTTTGGCTCACAGCTGTGATCAGAAAATGTGTCAGTTTCAGAAAATACTTTATCACATACCAAGCAAAGGAGGAAAAACGTTTGGTAGCACTTTGTAAAATCATCGACTGACTGAAAATCTTGCTTCGATACATTGTGTTTTTGTGTTAAATGTTCTGCAAGTTTGTCAGCGACAGAAAACATTCCTAAACAGAATAAACAGATGTATCGCCTGTGCACTTCTCTCATGTGTAAAAAGAGATTCCAATGTTCATAGTAAGTTCCACATGCAGAGCAGAGAAAAACTTTTCTAGTCAATTTGATATTAGCTGATTTTGGTTCGTTGATGGGATTTAGCTGCACAGGCATCTGCGGACCCAGCACTGGCTTATCCTGTTTTTTACAATCGACCTGGTGAGAATTGAGAGCACTCATAGACTGAAATGAAGACATCCCACAATTAGAACATTTGAATTTAAGAATCGGCTGGAGGCCAAGATACTGAGCATATTCTGATTGCAAACTAGACGAATCTATTTCATCACAAATATGTCGGGGTTTGGCAACTTTTGGATCCCTTTTACAAGCAGCTGCTGGATTAAACGGATTCCACTTCAAATTGACTTTTTTCTCTTGTTTATCAGGTAGTTCAGTTACACTTTTCTTTTTGAAACCTTTATATAAAATTGGAAATTTTTCATTAGATTCACTTTTGTCTTCTGTGTCAGCCTTACGCTTTTGACTTTTAGATTTAACCTCCAAATTTTTAACCTTATCCACTGATGTTGTGGAGTCCACAGACTGAGATCTTGTTTTAGGTTTTGAGAGGGTAATTTCAACTTTAGGAACTTTTTCATTGGTATTCATCTCATCAAATTTTACATTTTTTGCATCATTATTCTTATCAGTATCTTTACTTACCAGCTGAATTGTAAGCTCAGAGGATGATGTTAAAGATGCCAACATGGCCAACTTACTCCTTGTAGTCATTGGTTCATACATTGAGTCACCTTCTTTATCTTCATCATCCAAAGCTTTAGATTCCTCTTTTTCTTCACGTTCTTTACTAATTTTAGACTCGTCATATCCTGTAGTGACCAATTTTGGCTCTTGGTCCACATTGGGTAAAGTTTCATTCAAAACAGTAAAATCATTTTTATCAGTGGCTACAATATCTTCACGATCACCATTAAGCTTGGCACTCGAGATATCCAATTTGTTGTTTTCCTGGTTAGGGAGGCTGTCGGAATTGTCAAAGTTACCAGATTTTAGGGGGTTCTTTTCATCTTCCAAGTTCTCCTTTCCTGATCCATTTTCAACATCTCCAGAGAGTTCTACTCCGTCCTCCATGGTTTCTATTTATAAAAAGATGTAGATTAAAAAATCTTTTAAAACAAATCATGTGGCCAGACATTTCTAAAACAACAGGCTTAACAAGGATTGCATGCATGTAAAATTATGTTATTTAAAATATGGAAGGAAGGAGTCTGGTATCTTAAAGGATTTTCCAACAATCACTCTTTGTTTGAGTTTTCATTTATCTTTGTGTTCGGGCATCTTCTCTGTTTTATTTGCATCAAAATAAATTGTTGTAAGACAGTCACTGGAATGTACCTAACAAACGTGTCATGTGAAATAGGTTTGCCTACAATAAAACAGACATATTTATCTCTCCACTTTATAGTCACTTTACATCAAAAATAATGTTTGTCACATAAGAAATATTAAAAAAATAAAAATAAACTAACATTCTTGATTCTCTCAAGAGAATAAGAAATAAAAACAATGCATCTGTTTGTGAAACAGGTTTTCTTTCAGAATTCATAAACTTCTAGATTTGATATTAAAATAATTTATTCTTGATAAATATAACTGAAAATTTAAACATTAAAAATATATGGTTGCACCATTTTATCATGCTTATAATACATGTATTATTTGTTTGAAATAAATACGCATTTCTATACTTGTAATACAATTGGATCAATGGATACAAAGGAGTATAATACGCTAATTAGAATTAAACTTTATATCTAAAATTACATTACTAACTATAAGTAGAAATAAAATTCTTGGATAAAAAAAATATATTTATTTTCTATTACTGTTTCTTCTAGGGTATACAATTGCTGGCCAGTTTCAAATTAATCTAAACAAAGAATTCAAAGAGCAAATGAGTTCAAGTAATTTATTTTTTGATATCATCATCTACATTCATGTATATCTTCTACGGTCAATTAGCCTATAAACAAAGTGAAACATTGATTTTTTCAGCTATCCGACAACATTTAAAGAATTGTGGTTCATTCCAGCAGTAGAGTTCATCTTCCAAAAGTAAAAAATTAACAACGTAAAGAAGAAATGTGTGGTGTTTAGTGAACATTAGTTAATGATTATTTGAAGATCGTGAGATGCGGTCTGACTGCATTTTACCATCTCCAAATAACAGTAAAGAAGAAAAATAAGTATTAAAAAAAAAAAAAAAACTTGGGGAATCTGGCAATTCTAGGCATTTTCCATTACTGAAAAATAATTTTTTGTTATTTCAATTTTTGGTACATAAATATGAATTGAGAGATGTTGAAATCTTGAGAAAAGATGAGGACATTTGCTCATATAAGCTATACATCTAAATCTAAAATTAATGGTAAATATGATAGGGGTCCAGGGATAAAAAATGTCTCATTAATTTGGTCAAAGAATTTTTACAGTTAAAATTGTCAATTTCAAACAAACTTTTACTTAAATTAATAGATTTCAACCAAAATTTATACACTTGTACAAAACACAGTTGTTCTATTTGTATATTTTGGGTCACACTAAATACGGTTGATGCAAAAATAATGTAATCATTTTGTAAGCAAAAATAATTAATAATGCTAAGTGATGCATATCATTTTAAATCTTATTTATCATAGTATCTATCATAGAAATGCAATTAAGTTTTAATTATTCAATAAAGATTTATATTCTGATATCATTATAGCTATCATTTAAAAATTTAAATTGTGAGTTTTATCAGTACATCTGAGGGATGACGAACTTGTAATTTGGTCATTACCGATCATTTTGGTTCATCTATCCTCGAAGAGTTGGTCTCTCAGATGAGTTGTCAACATTTTAGACACAACATTGAAGATGGCGAAATGCCATCTATAAATACGACGGACAGACCAACCCAGGCAGTCTAAAGTATCAGTAATGGCCAAATTGGTAAATTAGTTAAAACTTGGCAATATAACTTCAATTCAACAGAACAAACACTTCAAAGAAATCTTTTATTTATTCCATTTAAATTGTGACATGCTGCACATTGTATCAAAACCTTTATTTTCTTACTATTGTATAAAACTTGTTTCAATGCATGATTTATGTTGTTTTTAACCATTTAAACTCTATAAGAAAATTGTAAAAAATTGATTGCTTGATTACAGAAGATGCATGATTGAAAATTATTTGGGTTTTTTAGGCAAATGAATTTAAAATGTATGAACAGGATTTAAGAGTAACATCAAACACAATTTGAAAATAATGATATACTCTGTTTAGTTTTTACAAATTATTTTTACAATTGCTCAGCGCGGTTATTTATCTGATGTAAAAACCATACCAACATACAAACGGCGTAGAATATGTATCGATACAGCTAGAATTGAGAAAAGTGGCAAACTTTTTCTGTACTGGTCAAAGAGCAATCGTTGGCAAGGTGACCAGAAGTCACCACAAAATCAATGGATTGTTTTGAAAGGGTTAGCGAATAAAGATCATACATGTAAAAATTAAACCAAGATCATCTGTCAGCATAGAAACAATTTCATTTTTTTGTAAATTAATCCATATTTGTTTCATAATCATAATTGACCATATCAATTATTCTTTTTTATCTAAGATTTTTGGTTGTGATGAAAAATTAGTGTCACAATCGGCATGAAAATATGACAAAAAGAGGGAAAATTGTAACGGTTGTAGGTTGAGATAGGGAGTAGGAGCCTGAGGGGATCGAAGTCACGTTAGCTCAAATGGCAGAGGAGTATTGAGCCAAAGGTCGTGGGTTCGAATCCATCTCTTGACACTAATTTTCAACCTAAACCAATAACCTTAGATAAAAAGAATATTTTTTTAAAATGTTTTAATACAACCTTTTGTCACTTATACTGCCTGTCAGACACATTTCACCACTCATACTGTTATCAGTTATTAGTCCATTAATCAGAACTACCACTGAAGGAATGTTGTATAAACACGCTTGACAAAATGAGTGACAATAGTCAGAACAGAATGATCCTGGTTCATCACAGGCTTTACCGATATGATAACAATTTACAATGAATAAACACTACATAGCATTTACATGTCAACACCGAACTTCAGAAACATCAAATTTTCATGTTTGCACAAATTGCATATCATTTCGCTTTACTTTTTAACAGGTTTAAGTTGCGGTTCCACAATTGAACTGTTATCTGCAAGTTATTCACCAAGTAAAAGAGCAAATAACCATCCAAAACTGCCAGAATTCTCAAGTTATTGCTGTTATCTGAATAAATGTTAAAATTGTTGGTGGTGAGGTCAATTTTGTGAGGATTATACGCTGTTTCTACGATTTGACTGATCATTTGGATTTTATCGCTACCAAACGATAAAGATCACAATAAAAAAAATATATATTAAAAAATACACATATATCAAATGTGATGAAGGAAACGCGTTGAAAAGAGTTTTTGATGAAAGAAAACGATAAATTCGTGTGAGATGGTAGAAAAAATCAAAAGTAAAAAATAAAAGTTTCAAGTTGGAAATCTGTTGTGAGCTAGAAGTGATAAAAATGGGGAAAAGGTAAATGGCGCAGCGAGTGCGGGCCGTCCACCTAGGCGAAAACGAAGCCGTTTCCATTGCTGGATGGAAGAAAGACAACTTCGCGGGATGGAGGGTGGTAGAAAAAATGGAAAACTGATACCAAGGAGGGTCTCGGATCTGGGGACAACGGGTTGGCTGGTGGCGGGTGGAGACGCAGGGAGAGAAAACAGTCCCAGGGACGGCTTACCTCAAGCATTTAACTGGGCGGCTTTCCTGGCGATGAATTGCAGACGGAAAAGACGTTTAAGTGAGACGCTTTTCTGGTTTGCGATGCTGGTCCGATGTCGAGGGGCGGCTCACATCCTAGAAACACGGAGAGGCTCGTCCCGGTCCACCGATTCGTTCTACCCTCCGAGTCCCAGCACAAAGGCACCGACTTGTCATCAGACGGCTTCCGACTCGGCTGGGCCAAACTCTTCGATAACTCGTCGTACGCTCGATGTAGGCCCTTTTCCGGGTAGAGACAGCCACGGCTCGTCCAAAATACGTAAATATCCGCTCCCTGAAATTGAGAGGAAAACACTCCGTTGATGAGCTTACGCGCCTTAAATCAGGTTAGTTTCGGGAAAATGGCGGCCCCACTCTCGAGTCTCGGCTCGGTCGGAGTTCGCCTCGGGACCAGAAATTATTTCCAGCCACCCAGGCTTCTCCGCCCGTTTCGATTGTTTTCACCATTTTTACGCCTTTTCTCGCCCCCTTTCTCATCAATTTTTCATTTCGGGCTCACTCTTGCCCGATTTATTAAATATACTCCCTTCCGCCCGATTACTATCTTTAATCTGCCAAATAAATTAACTCTCAATTTTAATAAACAATTTCCATTGATCACCTAAGAAACAGCGGAGAAACTCCGCATTTTCCCCAACTTAAAATCATTTAAAATCTCCTATTTTCCATAACAGACATTTATTTTCAACCAAGAAAAAATTTATTTTTTTAACATTTCCAATTTTTCTAAGATTTTTTTGTCTATTAGGAACAGAGTTTAAACCGGCGATGACACCGCTGCTAGCGATTCCCGCGGAGCTCTCCAGGACTCACCAAAATTGGAAAAATCATTTGTCTATAACTAATTACAATACATAAAATAGAAATAATATTCTGTAAAGAATAACATATACTTTATTGTAAAAAAAAAGTTATAAACATTTTATAACACAAAGTTTCAAGTAAATTTACGGCATAAGAGTCGAGTTACATTTGACTTAAATTTCATGTCGACAGAAAAAAAAAATCAATTAATCTTTAACTAAATGTTTTAATTTTTTATAATCACATTACTTACTAACAAATATTACAAACTATAATTTTTTCTTTGTTTAATTTACAATAAATATAGATTATAAATTATCTAGGCCAGCAATTTATAATATTTTTTTTTTAAATATTTGAAAATTAAATTCTGATATTAACTCTTGGCGATAGTGACGCGTATTGTTAATTAAATGTTTGAAATCATTAAACAAATCAATAATTTGTGTCTTATTTAATTTAACTAAATTTAGATGAAATCCGAATCTCAGATAATATCGTGCATTTTGCAGTAACATGCTATATATCGTCTTTAACTAGGTCATTTATAATGAACAAATTAAATTTTCTCTAGCCCGAAAAGGCGCACCATTGAGATAATTGTTAATATTATTAATTGTTTAATTATTTTCATTTCCTTTTTTTTCTCTATTTTTATTTTATTTCATTAATTTTATTATTTTTTTTATTTTATTTACATTATTTAGATTAGATTTCATTGTAAATTTTAAAATCTTTTAGAAAATAATTTAGTTTTCAGTAGCGTCAGGTATTTATAAATTCACCACGAATAGTCGATTTATGTTGGCACTGCGTCAATAAATTTCTACGGACCGTTTTCTTGTATGTATATATCGACATACATATTTAAAAATAAGTTAAATAAAACTATTTAAAATTATAATAAAACTCTGCGCTATTTATACATGTATTATATACGATTGACCCCAAAATGTATAAAACAAAATAATTCAATCATGGAGGTCGTGAAAGCTTCATTTTAGGAGAGTAGTCCTTACCTTCCGACTGTGGTTTTAGACGTTTCGTGGCCGTTTTGTTACTTTAATTTTACGTAAGTATTATATTGAAAATAGATATTTGATTGTTTATTCATTTTAGGCTGATTACGGTTTCGTATAACTCTTTAAAAAAAACAATTACAAATTTGTTCTGTTTTTTTTTCATCAGATTTCACTTTCCCCACGTGGACCTGTACCACCAAATTTTACCTTTTGGGTAATTTTTTTTCCATTTCTACGCCTTTTCTTGTTTAATTGTCAAGTGCAGTTCGACCGAATTGGGTTTCATTTTATTTTATTTTAATTTTCAAGTATAAGTGATGTGCCGTTAAGCGTGGTCTTATTATGCTTGAACTCCAACCTAAACTGTTAAATCGGTAGCAGATCTCTTAGGTTGTTAAACATTTTGTTTACACTAGTTCCGAAATTGTGTAAAACGGCAATTTCAAAATAATTTCCTTAATTTGTATTATGTGTAGCAAAATGCCCGACTAGTCTTTAATTTATTTCTTTAATGTAAGTTTTTGGTTTAATTGAGTAGAATATTTGTGAAATACGTATGTAAATGTCCACTTGGTTAAAATTAAGAAATCCACTATAGTGGTGCAAGCCACCAATTTCACCAACCTACCAAACTGATGTGAGGTAGTTGAGGTGGTGTTCAGACCTCTGTTGTTGGTAAGATATTCGAAGGATTACGCTGTCAGTGTAAATTTTGGTTATCTGGTGTAAATTGTAAGATTTTTCATGAAAACACTAAATATATGGTGTTTTAGCAGCGAATCCCAAATGAGTTTGGAACTGGATAGTTTTCTTGTCCAGGGTAGTACAGGTTCTGAAAAAGTGCCGCTAGAACGTTTACTTAACTGTGTCATAATTTTATAAATAATTTCTGTTATTTTAGTTTTTAGATTAGTATCTAAAGATATGGACATATTTTCCTGTCCTTTCATTGACCACAGAGCACACCATGAGAAGAAATATCCGCAGAAGGTGACCTGTAAATAAATGATTGAAATAAATAATTCGATTGAAATGTAACGGAATTTGACATGTTTTGAAATTTTTTATTGGCTTGCATTGTTTGTAGTTTTTTTTTTTTGTCATAAAATTTGCTTTTCTTGAGGAATGACCACTATTCTTTTTCCACTTCCACTGGAGATTTTAGTTGCAGTAGTTCATTGTTTGCCAAAGGCTGCATTTCAAATTTAAGTAAATCCAATGAAATTCCCGAATTGAACCCACCAATCTACCAGCTGCTAACCACTCGTCTACCATCCACAACCTGATATTTAAAGTTCTGCTATGAAAAAAAAAAAAAAAAAAAAAAACGGTTTGAAAGTTAGGTTGAAACAATTGAAAGGTAGCTGCTTAGGACTTAGTTGTACCAGGCCACTAGTAGAACTAAATTACCCCATGTATTCTGCAGGGGGTGATGATCTTGTATTTTTTTCTGATTCTTTTGATCTGCTTATTCTCCACAGGGTTGGTCTGTCAGATGTGTTTTGGTATTTCGCCATCTTTAGTGGGCCACATCTGCATAGGAAGGATAGCTAGATTAAAATTATCAGTAATAACTAAATTATGGTAGGACTTGGTCCAAACTTGAAATAGTGCTGCTTGAACACCAAACGGTTCTGGTTCTACAATTCTGGAACGCTGGCTTTATTCTTTGTCATTTACTGCACATATGGGCAATCAGTTCTGAGCAACTGCTGAACCCCACGAAGAAGAAACCTTTCGTCTGTACATTTAATCCAACACCTGTACTCGCTTCAGCTACTAAAATTAATGATAGAGATTAGCATAGTTCCTGCACGAGGATGACACACAAAATCGTGAAGCGTTCCAACATCAAGACTAGAATGCAATTAGCATAAATATAAATAATCCAGTAGCAATATTTAAAATGCGTTCACTGACATTAGAATATCAGTTTAATAAATTGTAAATTAAATGCAAAGTATCTTATTTATGGTTATTTTCAGATAATGGTTGAAACTGCAGCTAAGCCTGCTGCAGCAACCCCTGCTGCAGGTAAACCATCGGATGCAAAGAAAGACAAGAAGAAGAAGGGCCAGAAAAGGAACTACGACCTCGGTTGTGGTGTGTATAGGTTCAGCAGAGCCCGCATGTACCATAAGAAAGCTCTTTACAAGTTCATGGGGAAAACAACACCGAAGAGTGACAAACCGAAGGTGCCAGTCACTGTTCAAAAGGCAATTGGTGGCGAGAAGAATGAAGGCTTCCGTACCGTTTATCTAAAGAAGAGGACAAAGTCCTACCCGACAGCTAATAGGGTGAATCGACACCCTAGCAAAAAATGCTTCGCCCAGCACAAGAGGAAGTTCAGGGCTTCACTGACTCCTGGTGCAGTCGTCATCTTGCTGGCTGGACTCCATAAAGGCAAGAGGGCTGTTCTTTTAAGGAACCTTCCTAGCGGACTCCTCCTTGTTACTGGGCCATTCACCCTTAACGGTGTCCCCCTCAGAAGAATTCACCCAAATTATGTCATCGCAACATCTGCCCGAGTTGACGTCTCTGAGGTCAAACTCCCCAAACATATGAATGACAAATATTTCAAAAGGTTGAAAGCCAAAAGAACAAAGAAGGACGACGGTGAAATATTCGCTCCCAAGAAGGAACCTTACAAGCCAACTGACCAGCGTAAAACTGATCAGAAGGTAGTTGATAAGCAAGTCCTTAAAGCACTACAAAAGGGTAAGGATGTAGGTCTCATGAGACGATATCTCTGCACGATGTTTGGTCTTAAGAGCAGCCAATATCCTCATCGTATGAAGTTTTAGGTTTGTCTATCTTTAAATACCTTTGTAAATTTTTATTTTCCATTACTTTTTAAAAATTGAGGTTTTATAAGGTAATAAACATTGAAACTTCATATGAAAATACTTGTATTTATTTTATTTTAGTACCCAATTCCCTTTGTTCAATACATCAAATGTTAAAAGTAAAGTCTGAAAAAATTCCATACATGGTATTAGTAATAGTAATCCAACAATATTGCAGGATGTTATTAATAATTAATATTTATTCAGAAATCGTGAGATGCGGTCTGGTGTGATGTAGGTTTCAGAAAATTTTCTTTATCGTGCCAACGTTTCGATCTTTATTGAGATCATCTTCAGGGCTCAAAGTGTTTGTCTTCTGTGTAATTGTGCCATTCTTGCGTGTCGTGTTGTGAGTTTCTGAAACCTACATCACACCAGACTGCATCTCACGATTTCTGAATAATTATCAATGTGTGTGGTGGTCACGAATCACCACACAAATAATTAATATGTATTAGTAATTTAATTTTAAATAAAGACGTCTCTAGTGAGTTGACATGCAGTATTTTCCTTCATATAGGTCGATAGTATGCATTGAAAAAAGTTAAATTATAATTAATTGATTGTCTCTTCCACAAAAATAAATTAGACCACCAATTAAGGCAAATGTGACATGTCCGATGTTATTTTAAATTTTCGGGTTTGATGTTAGGATGTTAAAACTGTTCTCCTTCCTATGTACTTGGACATTGCATGACTCCCCAGTCTGATTTCTTTTGCATGCAATCACTCTTACTCCTTTTGAAATTCCATTCAAAATTTTATAGTACATCCTCAGTTACAGTTTTCAATGAAAGTATGTAAATGAACTAAGTTGCATTTAATTTAAAATTTGTTTTCACAAAAGGTATCCATAAACTAGAAAAAACTAAATACTGATATTAAGCTCAACTTTATATGTATGTACTTACAAACAAATAGAAGGTTAAAAAAATAAATAAGGACAACAAAAATAACTGAACGTAAACAAAATGAAACTAAAACTGAGGGCACCTGGCAGGCAATAAGGAAAAATCAGAAAAGACCAATAGGGTTGGGAAGGGCAGGGGCAAGAGGTAGGTAAAATATTGTGGATGAATAGTTTTCCAGAAAAACAATTGTCACAATTTTACAAAATTTGAGAAAAATCAGTGTGTGCTCAGGGACCAGAAAAGATTGGTTTGCTGATGAAGGGTGTGGGAGGTGGCGTTCATTTACTACACATTACATACAACCTCAGCCCAATAGATTGCTGTGTCAGCTAACTTAAAATGCAAAAAATACTGGCCTGGAGAGCATTCAAACCTACAGTAAAATACTTTACTTAGGGTTAAGGTTAAAGGTTAAGGGCCACCACACAATTCAGACTAACTGTTAGCCGATAGGTACCTACCAGTGGATATTTATTATAGTCAGCACCCTTTGTGCTAAAGAGGTCTCATATGTCGTAACAATCTTGTAATCTCTGGCAATTTAAAATGGAAAAGGGCTCAGTAAAATAATGCTATTACTAGAATTAAAATTAGTACACACAAAAAACTAACATAAATAAAGCATAAAAGTTTATTTTTGTAAAAATATTTACAATAGGAATTTATTTACATATCCAAAAATTCAAATATTTACAATTTTTAACAACCACTGACATCCTTGGTATTATTTTTTCTATGCCATCGTGTCTCCACGGGGTCAAAGCCTTGTTCCGCACAACCAAAAACTGCCCATGGAGGGGTCTTTTTTAAATAGTCCTAGCCATAGATAAACAACATTAAATTTTTGTTAATTATTAACATAGTAACATTAATTATATAGTTAATTTTCTCTAAGGTCTTGGTTAAGATGAAAAAGCCAGTGACTTGAGCAGGATCCGAATCTAGAACCTTCTGCTCTTACCACTTGAGTTATTGTGATTTAATCCAAACAAGACCTTAGATAAAATGTATATTAATTAAAATAAATAAATTAAAATAGTCGATAATGACAACTAAATATATGTGTGGGTTAATTGAATTTTTGTTTGCTATTTTAAAATAATTTTGTACTCTACCAGTGCTGTAAAAGTTTTACTGCCATCTGTCTCATAAAATTTCTGTATCAGCTCATGGAATTTGTCATAATCAATCCAAGTGTACCATTCCCCATTTAGTTTAAACTGAAACAGCAAATTAAGACATTAATATAAAACAGTACAAGGGAATCAACAAAAAAAAGTTTTACCTTCTTGTGGGCTATTAAAAGGCAGTTGGAGTGTTCATGTTCTGAAGCGATTTCATAATCAGGCAACAAAGAAACTAATTGTTTGACAAATGAAGTGACCTCTGAGTGCCAAGGGATGTTGGCCATTGTAAGCGTATTTGGCTTTCCAGCTTCACCACCTCCACAGTATGTAACACCCTTCAAAGGGAGGAAAATGATGAATATACATTTATATTTTACAAATAAAATGTTAACCAAAACTTACTTTTATTTCTATGAAGTCTGGATTACCAAGTGATACAAGAGAAGCATAATCTTTCATTTCATCAAAATTCCAAGCTTTCACTAATGTGAGTCGATAGACTGTGCGTTGACCCTGACATTTAAAAAAAAATTAATTGCTCTAATAAAGTATACATTAGTTACATACTTTGCTGGAGAGAGCCTTCAAGCTTTCTATAAATCTTTCCCAAAAATCTTTGAACAAAGGTCGATCAATTTTTTTCAGGCTTTCTTTTGTGCTTGCGTCGACACTGACGTAGAGTTGAGTGACAGGGTCTAAAGCTTTGATGGCATCTGGGAACTGTGCATTCGTTACAAGGAAAGTGGATATCTCTTTGCTGTGAAGGAGTTTGACAAATTTGCAGATTTCAGGGTACATAATAGGTTCCCCAACGAGAGAAAGAGCACAATGTTTGGCTTTCAGGCCTTCTTTGTACCTTTCGGGTATTACTCCTGGTACTCCTGCAACAATAGATTGAATCTCTAGTTTCAAGATGGCAATTTGTTGTTAAAAGAGTGGAGAGGGGAGTAAAATGTATCACAGAAAAGTGGCTCCTGGTTAGTCTTAATTTTGATACAAAATGGTGCAATGAAGTTTTTGTATTTCTGGCATGTCATTTCTGTTTAGAAGAGAGAGTTAAACCTCATACCAGTCTGATAACGTATCGACAACTGCTCCATTCCTGGTGGCAGGAGTCGACAATGTGTTGACTTGGCCATTGTAATTTTAAACCATTTAAATCAAGGAAAAATATAAAAAATCAACATGTCTGATTGTAGTGATAACGACATGTATTAACTTGGTTTTGGACGTGCCCTTGATGTGGTGCGGTTGATAATGCATCAGCAGTTCAAGTTACATTATTAGTTTTATTTACGTTGTACATAATAACAATTAAAAATGCAACAAATATTAAGATCATGCAATGATTTACAATAATGTAATTAAGTGAATGAACAATTGAGTGTTTTGAATAAGTCCTTTGTAAGAAATAAAGTTTTATAGGTTGTCAATACTTTCTCAAAATGGATGATTTTTTTATTAATTTTAGCGTGTAGGACACTAAAAATCCATCCTTCCACTAAACCAAAAAGGCTATTTATAGAGGCATTTTTCTGTATTTATAAATTCTGGTGGAATTCCGTTATATTCCCTTCCTCAGAGTATAAACTAATAACTATTGCTGGTGAAACAGAATCTATTGTAGAGCTATTGCAAAAGCTTAAGACTGTTGGCTAAAATTTGTGCCTTGTGGGTGGAGACGGGTAGAAATAGAACTATATGGGCAGAGTAAAATTAACTCCTTTATTATAAAGTTAACAAGTATAGGAGTGGAGAGGCTTATGGGAAAAATATTCATCGCTTTTTTTATATATACCATGGTGGGTGGTCTAGGTGTTTAGGAGGATTTAGCATGGTAGGAGTGAAGGGTGTCAGTAAAGTCCTTAAGGTGGGCATTCACGATCACTCTAAATGGAACCGCGCTAAGCCGTACAGCTCCATTTGGAGCGCCTGAAATTTTGGGGGATTCACGACAGCTCCACAGCCAGTCGCTCCGAACGTCAACCAGTGAATTACCTTCTCAAAATGGATGACTATCTCTTGTACTACTCTTCTGTTTATTTACATATTAAAAGCAGAATATCGAAGAGGAAATGGTGTAAGAAGTGGCTCCTGAACAGGAGCCGTAATACCCACATCAATTTGATGAAAGATCTTTCCCTTGAACCCGCTGATTGGAGGAACTATTTAAGGATGGATGAAACGTTTTAGTTATTCATTATATTTAGTGTTCTATTGACCAAATTACTTCTTTCAATTATAAGGTTTTGGTTGAAATGAAAAAGCTAGTGCCACGAGCGGGACCTGAATCCATGGCCTTCGCTAAATACGCCGCTGCTCTACCACTTGAGCTATCGGGACTTCGATCCTCTCCAACACCAAAAAATAGCAAAAAGAGAGAAAATTCGAAAGGTTGTAGGTTGAGATGGGGAGTTGGTGCCCGAGTGGATCGAACTATCGAAGTCAGGATAGCTCAAGTGGTTAGCTCAGCAGCGTATTTAGCCGAATGTCGTGGATTCGAATCCCCTCGTGGCACTAGCTTTTTTATTTCAACCAAAGCCTTACAAAAAAAGATTAATGTCTTATTTATATCTCCAGCTTGTTACCCCCTTGATTAGAAAACAAAAGACAGTCATGAGAGAAATCATCACTACATGAAAGGTTGGCACATTACTACTTCTCGCTTCAGGGATGAACTACAAAGAACTTAAGTTCTCTACTACGATTTCTGATCATTGTTAGGGGTTATCAATACTGCATATCTCGTTGTATTTGTATCCTTTTTTTGAAAACGACCAACTGGTTGAAGATCGAATTTCTTTTATTTCTATCGTGGTAATATAATCATTGTCCACCATTTTCATAAACATGGTAAACTTTCATACAATTCAATCACCTCAACAATAGAATCTCGATTGGATGTCATTACCAATAAAGAATAAACGTTTTTGACTTTTTGAGAATGCACGACAGAGATGTTTGCTCAGTGAAAGAAAGACGGAGACTGTGCCAAAAAACGAGGGTTTTCCCATTCACGAACGCACCATGCCGTCGTCATGCCGTAGATATTTGGAGTGGCGCAATGGAGTTTGGACTGGACGAATATTCGGCACAGCCGGGCACGCCAGTTCAGTTTTGCCATTGACGTGGTTTTTGGAACGGCGTCGCTCTGTTTGGACTGCTAGGAGCGATTGTGAATGGCCACCTTAAAGCCGGATTTTCACTGCACGACAAACACTTGCGCAACTGTTTCACAAAATTTGTCTTGCATTGAGGATACCTAGCTGGGATCTGTGAAACTTTTGGCGCGAGGAAGTTTTAGGGTGAGCCGGATGTCTTTTTTAAGCTGTTTTTTAGTGTGCATCAAAGTACATTAATACATTGTTTGTTTCTCCCCATGTAAACGCACGTCTCAAGTATGATAATGAACCAGGAGGACTGCATTTGACTTATCTGAATGTATTACGCTACCAATTTTTGTGGGATGCTACAAATAAAACTCATCGGAACAAGAGAGAGAATGGAAGGAAATAAGCATCGAAATGGGACAAAGACAAAAAGTACCGAATGATAACAAAATCTGATGCAACAGTTGCAGTTATGGATGGCGTGCTTGACTTGTACAAGTTGATGGTTCAGCTTCATGTTCAAATGTTTTGCTCTGTAGAAATGGTTAATCCAAGACAGCTTTTTGCGAGTAATTCTCATGTTTAGTTGCGCGAGTGATTTTTTTTGTGCAATGGAAACCCAGCAGGAAGGCAGAACATGAGGAAAGGTTTTTAACTCAAATATTATGAACAACATACTTACTACATGCTCAGCCAACATTTTTTAATTGGTTGGTCGCACTATGTTAATAATATTAATTGCGCAATATTAATCACCAATTTTTTAAGCCTCATTTATGTCAGAATTATTACTTTAAAACTAAAATCTCTCTTTCTTAAATGTGTAAAACACAAATTCGAAAAGAGTCAAAACCATACGTGTAATAAAAAGTTAATTAAATATTGGATTTTTTGTCATAGGAGAGTAAAATGTCTGCAACATATCCAGTACAGGGGTTACAAATATCAACACGCATCAAATTCTCAACAAAATATAGTGAATAAATGATAAAAATTAAGTAAACTACCTCTAAATTCTTTAATCATGTTATAATGGTTTTCAAGGGCTCCTTTCAAAATGTCTTCTGCATTGTCCATTTTCCATTTCCATTCTGTACCAACAGGGTTAGAGTGATGGCGCCAACAGAAGACACATTTGTTAGCGCATGCCAAACTGGGAGTTGCTTCCATGCATCTATGGCTTTCAATACCGTAAAAAGTATGCTTGTAACAACCACCCCTTCCACGGAGCATCGCCTATTTTAAATAAACATGAATCATATTTCTAGTAAAACCTGTATATCTAGTGTACCTTTGTCCATCTACACAATTTGACACCTGAGTGGGAGCCAATCAGCTTGTACCCTTGCTTTGTAAGCACTTGCCTCAAAGGTGCAGTTATCATCTCTTTTTGATCTGTAGTAATTTTTGATTTTGGCTTGACTAAATCTTCCACATCAACAACATTAGCTTCTTCTTCATCGCTGCTTTCAAAATTTATACCCTGTGTTACAAAAAATGTAAAGTTATATTATTTAAAACATTGATCAATCAAATCTTTTTGTATACATTCTCTACTGGGTGTTCTATTGAAATATTTGTGTGTTTTAAAGCATTATTAACACGTTTCAACCAATCATTAAAATCATTTTCAATGCCACCATATGAACTCTCCGAAGTGTCCTCGTCGCCTAATCTAACAGGCAAAACCCTGTTGGCACCAAGGTTCAATAAATCAGAATCTATATTTTTTGCTACCTAAAAAGTAGTGTACATTTAAATAAGAAAAAAGCACATTTAAAAATTGTGTTTAAAAACTCATACCAAGTTAAAGTCATTTTTATACTGAGAATTGCCCAATCCAAAAACAGCGTATTGCAAATGGCTGTAAGCCGCTTTCTCGACTCTGAAGTCGTTAGCAGCTTCATTTAACCATTTACAAAACCATATGCCTGACACTGGAGGCTTGCCATCGGCCACAGTCGGAAACAAGAAAAGCGTCATTGTGTTTGTTCCGTTTGAATCTCTGTTCAATGACTCCTCCGGTTCCACTGTTGAAATGTCCAAGACTGTCACATCTACCTTGTTGTCAAATTCATAACAAGTTATCTTCTCTGCTAGCGTCTGCAATTTAACAAAAAAACATGTAAAAAGTTTGTTACTAGGCACTAACTTTTGATAATATATGTACAGTTTGATGTATCTATAGATGATTTATTTACAGAGAGAAGAGAACTTCAACATGACAAGACAACACAGAAAACATTTTGAGCACTGAAGATGATCTCAATAAAGATCTAAACGTTGGCATGATAAAGAAAATGTTTTTCTAAACCTACATCTCACCAGACCGTATCTCATGACCTCTAAATAATAATTAACATAATGTGTGGAGATTAGTGACCGTTAATCGATAATTATTTAGAAATCGTGAGATGCAGTCTGGTGTGATGTAGGTTTCAGAAAAACATTTTCTTTATCGTGCCAAAGTTTCGATCTTTATTGAGATCATCTTCAGGGCCTGGGATTTACAAACATTGTTTACATTTAACAAATACATTTCGGACAATTACATTTTTTCCACATCCTAAATGTATTTGTTAAATGTAAACAATGTTTGTAAATCCCAGGCCCTGAAGATGATCTCAATAAAGATCGAAACGTTGGCATGATAAAGAAAATGTTTTTCTGAAACCTACATCACACCAGACCGCATCTCACGATTTCTGAATAATTAATTAAAATAATGTTAGATCGATCCGTGACAATCTCTATAATCACAAATGCTGCTATATAACAAATGCTCTATTATCACTTACTCCTGTAATGGCAAATGTTTGTTTTCAATATATGACTAGTAAAACTCAATAATTGTCCGGCATTAAAGATTTAGGAATCTGGCATGATACTAAATTAACATTCAACTTTCACATAGAAACCATGTGCAGACAAACTTATAAACTCCAAGGATTCTTTTATAGATCCTCTTATTACTTCACAGAAATCACTTCTCTAATCTGTCTTTACACTTCAATAGTCCGACCAGTTCTAGGGTATGCTAGTTCTGTTTGGTCTCCCCATATCAACATCCAAATGTTAGAAAAATTACAAGCAATATTCCTGAAATTAGTCTCCTTCCACAACAAATCAAGTTTTTCAATCACCCCAGACCCAGACCACATATTGATGAGTGTGATGAGTGCTGTGACGATTTTTTTTAAAAATTGCAGTCGTGGTTCTCTAGCGTCAGAAAAAAAATCTATTATCCAAGACTGACGCCTTAACCACTCGGTTACCGCAGTCCCCCCTTTCCCAATCTCATTTTTGTGTTCAAATTCTAAATTATATTGTATGTTATTATTTTATTATTGTCAATGCTTAATGTTTTTTATTTAATTATTGTAATGAAATGGGTAATTGCCCGCAAATAAATAAATAATTAATTACGTTAAGACGCTCATCTTCACATCGATCAATATTCGACTAATTTTTAAACTAGTTTCAAGGAAATTCGACAACAGTTGATATATGAGAAATTGTACCTTTGTTTTGCCATACTCCGTAGCGTAGTACACCATGATTTTTGATATCTCCAGCTCCCCGAAGCGGCCGGTTTCCCTTCGCTTGGGAGTTTTCAACTTTTTCGCTAGTGACCGGTCGCCGACGAACGTCTGCTTCCTGACGGAAACTTTCGCGTCTGGCTCATCTCGCTTCTGGTCTCGTTTAAAGCGGAACCTCAAAACGAGCACGGTCAAAAAAACAGCTGCCAACGAGCAGACGACCGTGCCTGAAAGAAAAAACAGCCCCACGGGAAGAATCATCAGTGAGGGAATGAAATAATATTTTATATTAATATAATTTGAGATATATATCAGGGTAACATAGCATGCGGCAAATGAAGGAGGTTACAACTTGCAGGCACATGATATACAAATAACAATGACGTCAGGTCAAATGTGGAATCATAGCTTACAGCAATCTGCATATAAACTAATTGAAGAACAATAATTATGAACTCTCAAAAATCTTACACAGTCACTTTAATTTTTTTTTAAAGAACTACCAAGTAAATCCCACCGTCAGAAATAATAACAAGGTACTTATTATTATTAATTTTAAAACTAAAAATAGGGCTCTTACATGTACTTTTAGATGCCATGGGCCTGAAAGAAGTCAGCGAGGAAGCAGAACGTGCTTCCAAGGAAGTCAATTCCACAGTCTCGATCTTGCAATTCTGAAGGATAAGGCTAAAAGTTTAGAGGAGTGTTGAAGGCTTTGGATATGATTGATGCGTTTGGAAAAGGAATGTGGGAAAATAGTTGATAGATATTGAGGACATTTGATTTAATTATAAATATACATATTAAAACTCTACGTTTATAGGTGTTTAGAATGTTAAGGTTGCTGAAGACTAATATAGGATGAAATATGATCCGTTGGTTTAAGATCATAACGGTATATAATGTAGAAATGATAAGCAATTTGAAAGCAATGAGCATATTGAGAGTCTATGGAAAGTGAAAAAAAAGAAAAAAAATAGCACTACAGTAAGAGAATAAAAAAATTATTATGGATTTAATAAGGAGAACTCTAGTTTTCAGTGGAGTGAAAATGCTAAGGTGTCGAAGAGAATTGAAGCTTGAGAACATCTTATTAATAATAGAGCTCACATGGTCATGCCATGTAAGCTTGGACTTAAAAATAACTCGATTTTTAATAAAAATAAACGATATTTTTAACTTTTAATAATAGAGGAGCCGTTGATATGAGGAGGTTGATAGGCAATCTGTACAAATGAGTTTATTTGGAATTTCTAAGGACTGGGATTTGTTAGTGTTTAAATGAATGCCGTTATTTCTTGGCCATTGATTGAGAGAATGAAGATCACGGTTGAGCAGAGAGATTATAGCTTGTAGGACAGTGAATGTAAAAACTAATGGAAGATCATTTAGATATATAGAAAATAGTACAGGTGCAAGAATAGACCCTTGGGGCTACACCAGCTGAAATTAAGATAGAAGCCTTAACACAAAAAAGTTAAAAAAAAAAAAACATGGACACTGCAATATTTAGACGTTTATCTCCAGACGAAGTGTACTTAAAAGACCTCATACCTGATCACCTTTTATTTGTATGTAAATTCATAGTGTGGAGGTTGATCATTAACTACGATTGGAGAACGTTAAATACAATTCACTAGTTTTCGTGGTCCGCTTGACCAATTAATATCTTTCAATCAATTAAGGTTTTTAATTGAGATAAAAAAAAGGCAGTGTCACGAGCGGAAAAAATAGCAAAAAGGAGGGAAAATTCAAGAGGTTGGGTTGAGATGGGAAGTTAGTGTCCGAGCGGATCGAAGACACGATAGCTCAAGTGGTAGAGCAGCGGCGTATCTAGCCGAAAGTCGTGGGTTCGAACCCCTCTCGTGACACTGACTTTTTTATCTTAACTAAAAACCTTAATTAGTTAAATACAATTTGACGTCATTCAACAGCTCAAATTTTAGGGGGAATTAAACTTTTCCATCAATCAAGTTTAAAATAAAATAATAAATGAATAATTTTTAAAATCGTTCTTGAATATAATGCCACGTTCTTTTCTGGAAAGATAAAGGGGGAAGAAGGGAAAAAAACGAACAGTTGGTACTGCCGCGGCCATATTGGTAATCTTGGTTTGGAATGTTTTACCCTAGTCGTTCCATTTTCTGAAAAAAAGCCAAGTTTGACCGTTGGGTGTTTTAAAGAAGGGAAATCGCTTTTCCACCCGTTTTTCTTCACATGTTGTCAGTCGAGCCGATCATCCCGGCAGGGTTTCCCTCCCCGATCCGTTTAAAGCCAGTGTCGTAGTGGAATATATTGTTTTAACGAGTTGTGCGTTCGGTAGCGAGGGTCTAATTTGAATTAGGTGCTGGAGTTGTCCTCCGAGGGACGGACGAGTGTCGCAGTCGGGAACGATATAATTATAAAAAAGGTAATTTGCCAGTCGGAAATAAAAATCGGCGTCTCCCGCCTCTCCCCGTAACATGCCCTTAAAGGTTATTCCGGGGGTGAAAGAAAGCTCATTGGTGTCTGGTGGAAGGATGCCGTCGAAAAGTGAGCATTAGACGGCCGTAAGGTCTCTTCCTCCACCCGACTGTTGCACGTTCACTCGCCTCCGAGCGGATCCGCGCTTTCCGAACTTCGCGTATTTTTATGTTTACAAACATTGTTGGGGTGGGTCATGGCCCGACCCCCTCAATCGACATCACAACCCCGCACTCTTTTACAGCTGCTACACTTAACACACAACCACCCTTTTGCTAACTCTACTCTATAAAAACGTTTTTTGACCTGAAAATATAAATTTAAATATAAAAATCTGTTTTTTGTCAAGTATTTATTTTTCGTTGACCAAAGAAATCTGTACACCTTAACAAAACTGTTTTTATTATTTCAACTAATTATTATTTTTTTGTAAGGCTTGGTTGAGATGAAAAAGTGTCATGTGTGGGATCGAACCCTCGACCTTCTGCTCAGTATGCTGCTGCTCTAACCACTTGAGCTATCAGGACTTGATCTACTCAGACGTTTTCATCTCAGTCAATACCTTACATAAAAAGATTAATTAATTGAAATAATTAATATGGTCAATTAGACTATTAACCATAAATGAATTAATATAATAAGTAAAGAAGTAATCACTTCACTAACAGCTCGCCATGGCCATTTTCATAAGTCGCTGAGAATTGAATCCTGATTATACGTTATTTGAAAAATGGCCAAAAGTGGTAAAATGGTTGTAAGTTGAGATGGGGAGATGGTGTTTGAGTAGATCGAAATCATGATAGCTCAAGTGGTTAGAGCAGCGGCGAAGGTCGTGGGTTTGAATCCCGCTCATGACACTAACTTTTTTATCTCATCCAAGACCTTACATAAAAAGAATACTTAATTGAAATAATCAATATGGTCAATTAGACCAATAAACATAAATGGATTAAGTTTTTATTATATTTTTTGTTTTATATGTTAGTACATAACACCATGTGATGGTTCATGGTTGTTTTTATGCAATACTCTGTTATTTTTCAAATATTTTTTGCCATAGTTATTATGTTAAAACTATTGTTACACTTCATTGTTGCTCACCTGATTATCTTTGTCAATATGCATTATTTCATTTAAACGACAGTATGTGTATTGAATGTTTATATTGAAGTGCCAGTCATTTTGTTTTGGATGAGGGCTCATGCTTGGACGTCAAAATTTTGGGCTAGAAGTGCTTAAGATAGAAAAAAAAAGTTGGCTATTTTTTCCCCAGAAATTAAATCCATTGTGTTAAAAGGCATAATTCACTATCATTCTCATCCACCAGTGTATTATCATAATGATATCCTATTCTATTTAACCCTTTTTATGAATTACCCATAAGATTCGTACACAGCTATTTGCTTAATATGCGTTTCTACATGTTTAGAAGTATAAACATGTTTAATGTTTAGTTTGTTGAAGTACCAACTATTTTCTTTTAATTGTGTGTTCTATAATTTTGGCTTCAATAGAACCACAAATGCAAAAATTTTGTTAAAATCAATCAGCTAATTGTTATTCAGAAATTCATAGACCCATTAAAGAAGATACGTACTATGATTTTTTATATCCACTTGTATATACTTTTAAATATATTTAACGTAGTCATTGAACATGATCAACCATTTTTTTTTTTTTTTAATTCTCCCTTTATGTATGTATTGAATAATATTTAAAGAAATTTATGGCCATTATTGCATCTGTAAAGGTAAATATATTCCATTTTTATTTTATTGAAGTGCTAAATTTGTGTAGGATCGTTGTTCATTTAAAAATTATTATAAATCATTAATAGTTTCAATTTCTTTATACTGGGATTAGTCCCATAAATAATAGTAATAAGAGTTATTTTCTTCTTTCTTATCCTGCTTGTGCATATACAAACCTACACCATAAATTATTATTGTCAGTTTTTATTTATTTAATAATAATTAATAAATTTTATTAAGCAAAAGGTTAGGTAATTTTTACAGTGTAGCCATCTTCTGGACAGTTTTTACTTATTCACTGGTTTTAAAGTTGTTTAAAAAATTGCGATTAACATAACGATAATGTCAAAAAACGCTTTTATAGACATAATACAGCCCACACTTTAAACCGAGTTCGCACCAGATTTGTTTTGAAATGGTTGCAACCACCAATTTAGTTGAATTACCAGGTGTAAATGCTATTTAGTTGACGAAGAATTATAAATCTCTTCATGTTATTTTGCCAATAATTTGCCTAATTGTTAATGCTAAAATGCAATTAATACATGTATTAAAATATTAATTAAAAAATAAAATTGAATATTTAATAATTGACTAGTTTTACTTTTTTAATAAATTGTGGAAAGGATGGCATAATAAACGTTTTATTGGCCAGCTTTCTGTGATGATCAGGACATTACAGATACCCTAGTAAAGCATACCCTTTACAGTCGTACCTAGTACTGTAGCTGGATCATTTCTAATTTTCCCGATCTTTTTATTCTGACTAATTTGACTGTGAAGAACGTTTTCACATTTTACAATTTTTAAAGGTTTATATCTGGTCAAAACCACCAAGACGATTAGAGACAATTGTGGTACATGTTCACTTGTAGACTTTCCCTCAATTCACAATATAAAACATAAATTACTAGATAAAATTTATTGTTTAGTCAAACCAGCAAGTGATCAACCACATTGTGTGCATTGCCATTTTTGTATTTTAGTTTTATATTAATTTCACTATTTATTATTATAAGTATAACTTGTTTTTATTATTTAATTTAAATATGTTAAATTAAAAAATAGTTAGAAAAAATGCATGATTATGGCACAAAAGATGCTGAAACGTTGCAAATAGGCAAAAAGAACACAATAAAAATGTATAATGTAAAATATTGCAATTTTCAGTACAGAAATGTTTAAATTTTCAATGTATATTATACACCTGTTGTGTTTGCTTATATATAAAAAATTACATGCCAGTTTTATTTATTCTATAAGGTGAAATGGACTGAATTATATTTACTTTCAGATTCTGGTATGGGTGGTAATAACACTTTCATCAAATTGGAAGATTGGACATCTGATTTGAGAAATTCAATGATGATAATTGTCTTTTGGTGAAAAAAAAGATGTGATAATTGCTGAATGAAAATTGAAAGTAGATAAAAGTGAAAACGGAAAGGCTGAATAGGTAAGTTACTTTCACATTTATCTTATTGAAAATTTATTATGTTTAAAGTTAGGTTTGGTTATAAACAAACAAGAATTTTTGTTTTTAACTAGATTCAAGGATGCTAAAACTACCTCATACTACTAAGCTATTTGGTGTACCCATTGGCTCACAATGTAAGCCTACAGCTCAATAAACTCGGCCAATACTGAATTATTTTTTACTGTTCCTCTGCACTCTACGGGTATATTTTAACTAATTTCGACAATGGCTGCTACTTTAACATTGCGTTGTACAGCTGCTATTGTACTTATGTTAAGTTACATGATATGTAAGTGTATTTTATTATTTTATTTTACTTTATCACTTTTCAAATGAATTAATGCATTGTAATCTATTTAAAAGGTTTAAGTTTGTGCCATACTATTACACACACCACACACTGTGAATTCCATAATGAAACTTTGTGCAATGAAACCGGTTCTGAAGGATGTAATGAAACAGTTAATTGTGAAGATTCGGAGACCGAAAAACGTGGAGGAGTTTATTGTTTTGTATTATGGCATAACAATACTGAAGGGAAACCTATGATAAAATTGAAAGTAAGATTATTTTACTTGCATCTTACATAGAAAAAAATTGAATTGTAAATTTTATATTCAATTTCTGTTAGGGTTGTTTTTTGAACAATAACGAATGTTCTGGACATTCTCGTTGTGTTGAATCTACTTGGAAAGAACTTATGTTCTGTTGTTGCGAGGGAAATATGTGTAATAGGGACTTCTATTGGGAGCCTACACCCCCTACTCCCACACAGAACAGTAAGTTTTTACTAGTGTACATCATGAAATGCAGTATATTTATTTATTTTTTTTTTTAAGCGATTCCCGGTGAAAGAATTGCACTGAACACTGTAAGTCCAGTGTTACTTACTCTGCTTCCAGTGGTCCTCCTTTCAATAGCATTTGTGATACTGTGCTGGGTATACAGGAATAAGAAAGGTTCTTATTTCAATGAGGTGAGTAGAAGTTAATTGAACCATTAGTGTTACGCAAGAGTGTTAACTAATTTAAAAATTACTTTCCTTTTGCCATTCATGGATTGTCTCAAAAGTGGGTAAGTTAGGGAAAGGAAAATACACCCCCTTGACATGTTCAATTGTACTGTGTCTCTGCAACAAATCCCTTCAAATATATCAACCAATTTTTTAAAAATTACTATTATTAATTTTTTTTTCAGGTTCCGACTATGGATCCACACCCAATGCCTCCATCCCCGACTACTGGATGCAGGCCAATTCAGCTGATAGAAGTCAAGGCAAAAGGGAGGTTTGGAGCTGTATGGAAAGCACAATATAAAGCAGATGTTGTTGCTGTAAAAGTCTTCCCTGTCCAGGTAAAATCAACACATCATCCTAGAAATACAAATAAAATATACACAATGTCTAATATATATAATTAATAATAATTTTTTTAAATAAATAAGCAAAGTTTTATAAATAAGATGCAAATAAACTATGATATTTGATGGATCAAAGGAATGAAATATTCATAAAGCACACAAAGTCAATAATTCTAAGCAAAAGCATTTTTGAATTGTTTACTATTTTATTTGAAATTAATGAGACACATTTGTTTGTACATTTATAAAGTTCCACGATATTTAAAGAATATTCATTAAAGGTCAGCAAAAAGAATGAAGAAGCCAATGATGACCTCAGATGTTTGTCAGCCCATAAACTTCCCACATTATATATACAGGTTTTTTTTACATAGTACACCATATTTGCAACAAGTTCCATATATAGTCCCTATCCCTACCTTTGGTCCTGATGAGTTATGATTTTTTCTTAGTTTTTCCATGGAAAGTTACCTTACTTGAGAAAACACAAATGTACCCTTCCTAATTGTGGTAAACCTGTTGTGTATATTTTGTTGAAAAACACATGAGATCAACTATCAACAGCTCAGGTGATGATAAATAGAACTCTTTGGTTTTAAAGTTTTATAATTTTATTCATAATAAATTAATGAAGGATTTACAAGCATTATTAGACATTTTGAACATTTTATAATGTTCTTAATTGAAAAGTATTTCAGAAGAATATAGTGTTTATGAAAATAGCGACTATATGTTAAAGTTGTTGCAAATAGGGTGTACTATCCCCCAACATTTTTTTTTTCTTCACATCCTGTTTACAACATGCAACTTTTGTGCTAGTTGTTAGTTGATTTTAAACAACAGCTTTACCACTTTTTATTAACACCAATTAACTTAAAATTAATTAATTGCTTGCTACCGAGATGCAACCCAGAATCATTCCAGTAATGAGTCGCTGTTTCAAACCTTAGCCGTTGCAGCCACCGGTATACACAGTTATAACACAGTATGTTTAAATTCTATAGTCCACAGGAGAAAATGTTTTAAATTTTATGACACAACAGTTGTGAAAAGAAAGAAAAACTTTTGTAATCGGAGCAAGTAATAAAATTAAAAACAAATTCAGACTAACTGGTAAGTTCACTACGGGAAGATACAATAATCTTGGCTTGTATTTAGGCCCTTGATTTTAAATTTACAAAACACCCTGAAAAAAACAACTCAGGATGTACACAGAAAAAAGTTCCAACTCATGCCAACAAAACATTCAACCTTAACAGTTTAACACACACACACCAATTTGAATTATGTAGAAGTACATTAACATTGATGTGATAATATATATTCATATTCTGTTATAATGTAATGCAAAGATGTTTACAGATTAAATATGGAAACAGATTTGTGATATTTATTTTATTTTATTTTTTTTGCTTATATTATTTCATTATAATGTTATTGTGGTGTTTTAATTAAATTACTCTCATGAAGGATGTTGTTTCCCATATGTGATGGTATTAAAAAAAGGCACGTTTTGGTTTTTAGGATAAACAGTCATGGCTAAGTGAACAACAGATCTATAAGCTTCCCCACATGAAACATGATTGCATTTTAAGGTATATTGATGTTGAACGACATGGAGATGGACTCCAGACAGAGTTTTGGTTGATAACTTCTTACCATGAAAATGGATCTCTTTGTGACTTTTTGAAAGCTAACACATTGACATGGCCTCAACTTTGCCGAATTGCAGAATCTATGGCAAGGTCAGTAGCTAATGCCAGTTTTTAGAATTAATTTTAAATGCATGACACTCTAGGAAAATACTTACCTTATCTTGTTTGATCGAAGAAAAAAAAATTTATATACGTTATAATTTAAATTTACAGAGATATCGGTGCTACTTTTTCATTGCTGTGGTATTTGTTCAAAATAGGCAATTTTTCAACCATTTTTCACATAAATGATTTAATAAACCTTAAAACAACAACTAATTATTTATAGATAACACATAGACATACATAAAAATGTAACACACATTATGTCAGAAAAAATAGGATGATCTGTTCTCAAGATTTATTTATCTTCAAGAAAACTTGTGTAATGTAGCTATATAATTATTTGGAGATAGTGAGGTGCGGTCTGGTGTGACATAGGTGTTAGAAAATTTCTTTATCATGCCATTGTTTCGATCTTTATTGAGATCATCTTTGGGGCCTGGGATTTATAAACATAGTTTAAATTTTACAAATACATGTAGGATGTGAAAAAAAATGAATTCATACAATGCTAGAAAATTTTACATTCAAAGTATGTATTTGTGTAGAGATTAGTGACCGTTAATCGATAGTTATTCAGATATCGTGAGATGCGGTCGGGTGTGATGTAGGTTTCAGAAAAACATTTTCTTTATCGNGCCCTGAAGATGATCTCAATAAAAGATCGAAACGTTGGCACGATAAAGAAAATGTTTTTCTGAAACCTACATCACACCCGACCGCATCTCACGATATCTGAATAAGTATGTATTTGTACTGACTTATGTGACTATGTGAAGTCAGTTTTCAATAAGTTTTCATAAGTTTCAATTCATAAGTTTTCAAATTTATGTGAAGTGTTTGTTTTCTGCGTAATTGTGTCATTCTTGTGTGTCGCGTTGAGAGTTTCAGTGAGATATTGCTGTTTTATGTTTATGTACATTGGATTTTGAAGGGGTGGGGATAGAAAGTCATTTTTATATGAGGTGTCGGCTTCTTTAAGGTGAAAGGAGCCAACAATGGGAAAAAACATTGGTAATGGTTCGGCTTGATTATCTTTTCAGGTTGATATAGACGGGAATAATTAGGGAAAGGAAAACCAAATTGTTGAAGAATTAGACTATGTAGAAATGTTTTATGTGTGAAATGTGATGATTGTTTTAAATGTTTCATGTGATGTGTTGATATATGTGTGTTATCGATATTGAATTTGATTAATGATATTGACGAAGTTGCAACTGATTTTACGTGTCTGTTCTGTAATTGATGCTGTGTTTATCTCTGTTGATGTAAACCATTTCTAAAAAGTTACATTTGTGTTAGTTTTGTTCTGTGTGTAATATTTGAAGTCAAATATTTGTTGAAGTCAAAATTGTGCTGGTGTTCAAAATGGTGGGTAGTCTAGTGCTGTAGGATTTTCCTTGGGTTTTTTGCAATCATAGATATGTTGCTTTACTCTCTTATCCAGATGATGTAATACCTAATACTTGTCCATGAAGAGCACCTTCTATATGTGTTTATATGTAATAACTTAAGTTAAATTATATAGCTATGTGTGGTGTTTAGTGACTGTTAGTTAACGATTATTTGGAGATCGCGTGATTTGGTCTGGTTTAGAAAAAACATTTTCTTTATCATGCCAACGTTTCGACCTTTATTGCGATCATCTTCTGGGCCTGGGATTTATAAACAATGTTTAAATTTTACAAATACATGTAGGATGAGAAAAAAATACTAGAATACTAGTACAATACTAGAAAACTTTAGACTCAATCAAAATATTCATACTCATTCAAAGTGTTTGTTTTCTGAATAGATGTATCATTATTGCCTGTCGTGTTGAGAGTGCCAGTGACTAGTGAGATATTGATGTTTTATGTTTATAAACGTTGCATTTTCAAGGGGTGGAAAAGGAAGTAGGGATAGAAAAACATTTTTATATGAAATATGTAGATGATATATTAACAGCAGTCCCCACAGATCAAATTCAAACTACATGAGATACATTTAACAGCTTTCATCCAAGTTGTAATTTAGATATGAATTTGAAAACAACAAAAAAAATTCCATTTTTAGATGCACTCATAATAAAACAACCAGATGGCACATTAATCACAAATTGGTATCAAAAACCAAGAAACACAGATCGCTACCTCAACTTTTCATCACACCATCATCCTCATATAATAATAAACAAGGCCAAAGGAATAGAATTACTACCCTACGCCATGAATCTTTCTATCACAAGTACATAAAGATGTACAAACCTAAACCACACAATCACTACCCTAAACGCATAATCCACAGAATAATCAACAACTACAACTCAACACTAACTCCATATACTATTACTAATAATACCACATCAAATCTATCAAATACAGACAAACCAATATACATGTCCATGCCATTCGTTCACGGCCTGTCACTAAGTTAAACACATTTCTCTCTTCTGATAACTTTAAAAATAGCTTTCAAAAATTATAAAACAATTTACCCACTTTTTCCAAAATTAAAGATGCCACACCAGTAACAAATAAGTCTGACGTAATTTACAAAATCAATTGTTTAAACTGTCTGGCAACTTAATCGGAATTACATCCCAATATCTAGATAAGAGAGTACAGCAACATATCTATGACTGCAAAAAACCCAAACAAAATCCTATATCACTGGTTACCAACCATTTTGAACATCAACACAATTTAGACTTTTTTTTTTCTTTTTTTTTATGGCCTCGCCTTTTTAGCATACAGCCAAAGTCCCGTGAGTAGTGTCCAAGATCCCGCCAGAATGGAACCAGACCAGGCCAGCCCAGGCCACCGCCGAGCGGTCGGTCGAAGTGCACCTATTAAGTATAGACTTTTGGGCAACACCACCCCGATCCTTATTTAAAAAGATGGTTCCTACTCACATTAAGAACCTTACCATTACTTAAGGAGTAGGAATCATCTTTAAAAAAAAAGATTGAACTCCACACTCATTCCATCATTCATAATTTCTACACACCACCCCGATTCGGATGCTTCAGAAATATGTGGATAAAAACCACTTACATCCCCTGGTGGGGCCGTGGAAAAGTCCGCATCGTCCCAGTCCGGAGCACAACTTGCCCTGTGGCAACCCCCCCGCCAGCAACCCGCCCATCCAGCAGAATCCCAGCCCACTCGGCTATCTGACTTAATTATATGTCCAACCCGGCGTTCCGTAGAAATTCATAAATTACTCTATAAACTTTTCCGTTACCTGATGCTAACAGGCTCTCAAAACAAAACGGCTTAATTACTTCTTTCAGCTGGAAGAGTCGGTCAAAAAGAGTTGCTCTAGTAGTAGGAGAACACTAAGTGTTTGAGGGTCTCTGGTTCGTCACAAGTTGGACAAATGGCGACTGTCTGAGTCTGATCCTATACAAATGAGATCCGCAGATTTAGACTTCAACAATCCAAAAATATTACACACAGAACAAAATAAACATAAACATTACTTCTTAGAAATGGTTTACATCAACAGAGATAAACACAGCATAACAGACATATGTAAACTCAGTCTCAGCTACGCTAATATCATTAATAAAATTCAATATAAATAACATACATATGTCATCAATACATCACACAAAACATATAAAACTATCATTACATTCCTCATATCAAACATTTCTACATAGTTTTATTCTTCAACAATTTGACTTTCCTTTCCCTAATTATCCCCGTCTATATAATCCTGAAAGGATAATCAGGCTGAACCATTACACGTTTTTTCCCACTGCCAGCTCCTTTCACCTCAAAGAAGCCGACTCCTCTTATAAAAATGTTTTTCTATCCCTACTTCCTTTTCCACCTCTTCAAAATGCAACATATATAAATATAAAACATCAATATCCCACTGGCACTCTCAACATGACACATATTTTAATTGAGTCTAAAATTTCTAGCATTGTACAAATTCATTTTTTCACATCCTATTTGTATCATTTAAACAGTGTTTATAAATCCCAGTCCCTGAAGATGATCTCAATAAAGATCAAAATGTTGGCATGATAAAGAAAATGTTTTTCTAAACCTACGTCACACCAGACCGCTCCAAGATCTCCAAATAATCATTAACTAATGATCACTAAATACTACACATTAATTAATAATGTAAACAAAATGTTGGTAAAAGTATGGTCGTGAAGACGACTTGGCTTACAGGGCAAAATCATCCAGGACGCGTACAATTAAATTTATTGTACTTTGTGAGCTAGATACTCATACCATTGTAATACAAGATGCCTATTCACAGAAGCAGGCAGAGTTGATTTTCCTTAAGAAAGGACCAGCTATGGATATAGAATATATTGTAAGGTGATTCTCTGCCACCAAATATATTTAGATGCAATTTTAAATGTTACATAAAATTATTCGGGCCACTGATTGGTTCAGTTTTCAAAAAGAAATTTTTTATCTGGTTGGATAAAGACATATGAAAAACACACTCATTTACTTGTCACAGCAATGCAAAAAAAGGATTAATACTGGATGTATACATACACCAACAGTGACGTATGGATGAACTTACACCAAAACAATATACCCCTCAAATGGCCACAATTAGATTAGCAAGCAAAGTCTACTGCTGAGGAATGTCTTTAAACTTTATCGGGTTGGTATTGAAACTGTGCTTATTTAACTGTACTATGCAAGATGGATAATGTGTGCTGTCAGACTGCCAATCTCATACAATTTACGTACCACTTATTCCTTCCTATCTACCTATCTTACCAAATCCCCCAAGCCGAGGGGAACAGTTTAGCTTAGGCTGTGTGGTTAGAAGGAAGTCTAGACTACTTGAGCAAATTCTGGTCTAAATTACAGTCTTTTCCACCATGTGGGCTCTGTGGGATTGATTATTTTGATCCCTAGCTATTCATCGGAATTCATATGGACCCAAATATTAAACAAAAAGAAATAGAGGCTGTAGAGCTTCAAAAATTAAGAAGCAAAGAAAAAGAAAGCAAAGCTCTCTTC